CACCAACAGCGTGGTTCAGCACAGTGCGTCTAGAAACGTTTGCACCGGTTTTAGTTCGTGATTTGCGAGCACAGACAAATTTGCACCTGGAAATGTTTACGACTAGAGTTAATTTCCTCGGTTTCTTTACTACAGTTCTACGTTTTACACCGGTCTACTTTTGCGATTTCACACCCATCGCGAACAGCGCAAAGGATTCCGGGTGTACAGTATCCGGCAGCATGTCAGCATCATACCTGTTTGGAGAGCTCTTCTGTTAGGGACTGCTTCTCCACCGCCAGTGACTGCAGGGACCGTTGCATGCCCTGCAGCTTCTCGATCGATGCATTCTCACCACTCTGCCGGGTTAGATCTAAACACACGCACAGACAGACAGACACACACATACACACGCGCACGCACACACGCACACACACACACACAAGGCACAAAAATGACCAAAAACAAGTCTCACACACATGTAGGTACTAACAAGATGCAACCATCCCATACGTTTGTAGAAGGACGGAAAGTTGGGACAGTGAGGAAAAATAAACTTGAGTAGCAGGATTCATGCACAATAACACTGCGGACAGTGTCATTCTGTAACACCCCTGCAGGAGACCAGGGTCGTAACACCCTTGCGGGAGACCAGGGTCATAACACCCTTGCAGGAGACCAGGGTCTTAACACCCATGCAGGAGACCAGGGTCATAACACCCTTGCAGGAGACCAGGGTCATAACACCCTTGCGGGAGACCAGGGTCATAACACCCATGCAGGAGGCTTGACTCAGAACCCCCCCCCCCCACAAGAAACTAGGGGTGTGATCGATTGGCGAATCTGGATTGAGTGCGAGCAGGCGGTGTGGTCTGAGCAACTCTGGCCCAATCGAACAAAACAAGGGTGTAGTACGCAAAATGTACGCATATCGTACAAAGATTCTGTGAAAGCTGTCCAAAAACAGCAAAGTCCATTTCCACTCCAGCCACTCCCGGTGTGGTCGGATTCCAATCCAAGTACACCTACTCCGGATTCGATCGGATTCGGCCAAACGATCACACTCACTCGGAGCGCACTTGCTCGGGATTCGCCCAATCGATCATGCCCTGGGCTACGTGGTATATTGCTGGAAAGCAACAAGTTTAGAGACAACGGCAAGGAGTCGCACAGAGGGACAGGAATCTCACCGAGTTGGTGTTTCAGTTCGTTGACTTGCGCTGCTTGTTTTTCCAGGTGCTGTTGTAACTGATCTTGTTGCTGTTTGTGTACAACACGCTGGAACGGGTTAGAGAAAGGGCATGCATCGCAAAGGAACGGGTTAGCATCAAGGAAAATAGTTTACAATGAACCTTTATCCCTACCACCATCATGAAAAACCTGGCAGGCACGATATTCCTTTGAAGAATGCCAGCGACCTAGAAGGAGCACGAGCATTTGCTGCAGACAAGTCGAAAAGGAGATCAGACATTGTTTACGGATGAGTTTTTTGTTGACTGGAGACAGAAGCGGACTTGGCTTAATTTCAGTGTATTCTCATGCATTGTTCTTTGGCCTTTGTACGCGTGCTGTGGTATTATTATTATTATTATTATTATTATGAACCTTTAGTGAGAAAATGGCAATGGAACTTCTCCAGTTCTTGTCAATGTGTCTACAGGCCGACAGGCCTGGCTTGCCCAAAGCAGTAGCACTTGCAATTGAACAGCGACGTGAGAAACACGCGTAGATAAACACAGACACACGCTCAAACGTCTCTTATCCGGACGCCTCAGATTCGGGCACGTCTCTCTCCCGGGCACCTTCAGCTTGAGTTCCACAGCAAAACCCCCCAAAAGCTTCAAATTTTGGGGTTTTGAACTTCTTTCATATAAGCAAGTGTATATTATTTCGTCGCTGCCAACCTGTGCAATCCGCACATCTTCATCAATGGATTCTTTTTCTATGCTGCAAATTGTGCAATACGTGCCAAATAAACTTCTTCACAAACTGATATGGTAAATGGTAGATGAGCTGTCCTGAGATACGGGCAGTGTCCGGTACTAAGGCGCGGATAAGAGACGTTCGAGTGTACCATTGGACGCCCATCGCCGGAGGCGATGATAGCGATGCTACAGCAGAACCCATAGCAGCTTGTGCTGGGATTGCACCATTCAACAGCTTGCAAGGCTGAAGAATTGACCGCCACTATTCAGCCTGGTCTACACCACACAGCTATGAAGTGGCCTTTTCTGGCCAGTGAATCCCTACTTTTTGGTCTTTTTCTTTTTTTCTTTTTTTCACGCACACACATCACACCACATACTCCGGCATGCACTGGCTGTTGGTAACCAACCACCCACAGTACACGCAATCGAGTGTACACACACACACACACACACCTCAGACCTCAGACATGCCCATCGCGGAAGCGATGATAGCGAACAGCTATGTTAGACATAGCAACTTGTGCTGGGATTACACCATTCAACAGCTTGCAAGGCTGATGAATTGACCGCCACTATTTTTAGCCTGGTATCCACCACACAGCTGTTTGAAGTGACTTTTTCTGGCCAGTGAATCCCTATTTTTCATTTCAATTTTTCTTCCATTTTTTTACACACACACCACACCACATACTTCGGCATACACTGGCTGTTGGTAACCACCCAATTCAATTCCCGACGATTATGGTCGCACACGTCTTTCTTCTCTTTCTCGGACTCTTCCTGACTTTTCTTTCATTCTCCTGGGTGGTTACCAACACACACACACACACACACACACACACACACACACACACACACACACACACACACACACACACACACACACACACACACACACACACACACCTCCTGGTCCAGATGTTGCTTCACGGTGCTGGTCTGTTCCATAGCCTGGCGACATTGCTGTACAGCCATGTCTCTCTCCTCAACCGCACGCTGCAAGGATGTAGACAGCTGCCACGCAAAACACACATACATGTACACGCAACCACATTCACACCACACACACACACACACGTGTACACGGACACGCACGCACGGACACACACACGCACGGACACACACATGCACGCACGGACACACACACACACACGCCAGTCAGGGTCACAATACAGGCTAAGTGTAATCGTAGAGTTGCAGTATGCCAACACTCTAAACAAGCACACTACTTGCAATGCTGACTTTCAAAAAAAGGCCCGGAAGCAATAACAATATGCATGGGATGAAGTAAAAAAACAAAAAATGCACAACAAACTCACATTGGACATTTGTTGTTCCAATCCACCCTTCTCATCAACAACAGCTTGGTGTGCCTGTCGAAGCTGTGCTACACTGTCATCAGATGATGCCTAAATATGGAGAAAGAAGGAGAGTGAGTGAGTAAGTGTGTTTGTGTGAGAATGAGACAGACAGACAGACAGAGAGAGAGAGAGAGCGAGAGAGAGTGAGAGTGAGAGAGGAGAGAGAGAGAGAGAGAGAGAGGGAGAGGGAGAGAGAGAGAGAGAGAGAGAGAGAGAAGAGAGAGAGAGAGAGAGAGAGAGAGAGAGAGAGAGAGAGAGAGAGAGAGAGATAGAGACAGACAGACAGACAGACAGACAGAGAGAGACAGACAGAGAGAGAGAAAGAGAAAGAAGAGAGAGAGAGAGAGAGAGAGAGAGAGAGAGAGAGAGAGAGAGAGAGAGAGAGAGAGAGAGAGAGAGAGAGAGAGAGAGAGAGAGAGAGAGAGAGAGAGAGAGAGAGAGAGAGAGAGAGAGAGAGAGAGAGAGAGAGAGAGAGAGAGAGAGAGAGAGAGAGAGAGAGAGAGAGAGAGAGAGAGAGAGAGAGAGAGAGAGAGAGAGAGAGAGAGAGATAGAGACAGACAGACAGACAGACAGAGGGACAGAGAGAGAGAGAGAGAGAGAGGGACAGCGAGACAGAGAGAGAGAGAGAGAGAGAGAGAGAGAGAGAGAGAGAGAGAGAGAGAGAGCTAGAGAGCTAGAGAGCTAGAGAGCTAGAGAGCTAGAGAGCTAGAGAGAGAGAGAGAGAGAGAGAGAGAGAGAGAGAGAGAGAGAGAGAGAGAGAGAGAGAGAAGAGAGAGAGAGAGAGAGAGAGAGAGAGAGAGAGAGAGAGAGAGAGAGAGAGAGAGAGATAGAGAGAGATAGAGACAGCAGACAGACAGACAGACAGACAGACAGACCAGAGAGAGGAGAGAGAGAGAGAGAGAGAGAGAGAGAGAGAGAGAGAGAGAGAGAGAGAGAGAGAGAGAGAGAGAGAGAGAGAGAGACAGAGAGAGGCGGAAAGAAAGACAGAGAGAAAGACAGAGAGAGAGAGAGAGAGAGAGAGAGAGAGAGAGAGAGAGAGAGAAAGAGAGAGAGTGTGTGTGTGGGTGTATGCGCGTGCGTGCGCATATGTGTGTGTGTGTTCGTGGATGTGCACTTGCACACGCGCATGGCTACAATCTATGATCATTACAGCTATACAACACAGCAACTCGGCATTAGAAGGCATGGCACAGGAACACTACCTGCTGTAACAGCGTTGATGTTGTCTGCAGTTTCTCGGCAAACTGATCACGCTCCTGGCGCAGCTGTGTGCACTCAGTGGCACGGGATTGGACTCTGCGGGACAACTCGGACACTTGGTGATGTGCTGCTTCGGCTTGCTGCCTGCATACATGCCAAGAGGAGAGACAGACAACGTGAGCAATAGGGCTTGAAAGTGATGACGTCAAAACGGCCAGGGAGTAGTAAGTTGACATCAGATTTCTATTTTTGGATCCACTAAGGTGTGACTTTGCTATTGCCTAAGTATGTGGGTGCATAGCACCCCACTCATGTCGCATGCAGGTGTGACTTTTATTTCGCCACCAGTTGTAACCCCGCCCCCAGTAGCCAAATCAGTCAGTTTCACTGGCTACATCACCATGCTGTGGGTAAGACGGCTTGAAATGTGCTTGGATCCATACAAAAACTGGATCCAAGTGGATCCAGTTTTTGAATTTTTGAAATTGTTGCTATGCTGTGACGTAGCACTTTCAAGCCCTAGAGTGATCAGTGGAGAACGCAGCAAAGTATAAGTATGGGGGAACCCCTGATATATGGAGAGCCCAAGGGTCCAACCATGCTGGAATCTGTCCGACATCAAACAGCAATAATAGTCACAAGAAACGCCTCTGCACGCTACGCACTGCACCCCCCACACATACATACATACACTAATACCATTGCCATGAACAGCATAGTGTCTGTCTGTATACTACAGATGTCCACTGAACGAGACTGTGTGCTTTCTCAGTTGCACAACACAGTTCACCATGATGGTTATCACTGGATGTGGTTGCAACCAAAGCACTCGAGGTGCAGGACACACGTTCCGAACTTCTTATCCATGCAGCCACCCCCACCTCGCTTGCTGCAGCTGTGCATTAAGAGCTGCTACGTCGGCATCCGAATGCTGGCCTCCACGGCTAACGGCTCGCACATCAGCTTCGCGCTGAGCCAGCTGGGAACGCAGACCTTCGTTCTGCTCCGAGGATGTACGCATCTGCTGGTTGAGGTTCATTATCGATGTGTCGCGCTGGCGAACAAGCTGTTCGTACTTTGTACAGACGGCCTGCAAGCTGTTTTTCTCTTCCACGAGGACATCAATAGTTTGCTGATGTGCCTGGAGTCAACACAGGACAGGTGGCGCAGCAAAGAATACACAAGGACGATTGAATAATAGCAAGAGTACATAACCCCCCCCCCCCCCCAGAGTGTGCAACGCCGATCCAGCTCTGTGTAGGGTCTTGGTCGAGCGGAATCGGATCTTCTGATGTCATGCGTACACTTCACACCAGCGCAAGGCCGGTCTCGAGGCAGGGCACCATTGTTTTTGATCCAAGAGTACCCGCGACTCCCCGGGTTCCCCTCAGATGTGTACGGTATTATGACGCAAAGATCCGATTCCGCTCGACCAAGACCCTATGCAGAGCTGGATCAGGCGTTGCACACTCTGGGGGGTTATGTACTCTTGATAATAGATAAAGACAGGTTGATGGCCTGCAGGCTCCAGCATACAGGTGGGCAAGGATTCAAAAATTTGCTGAAGAATGTTCAGATGCTGCGCAGGCAGAGGGCTGAAATCGGTCCAGCCATGGGATAATCTGAGTTCCATGCCGAGTGCAATCATCAGCCAACAGTCAATCATCAGTACCATCCTCAGACAGGTGGCCTGATGATGGTACTGAACAGGAGACTCACAGTTGCAACAACCCACCCTGCTTGCTCCCACACTGTTTAGTATTTATAGTACAGTAAAGCCTGTAACTACAGTCCATTTCAAAAACTATAGACGCGCAGTGTTTTTGAAATATTTCAAATATGGCTGGAACTTTTCGAGAATAGTTTTCGGAATATTGCTCAGGTCCGCTCCACAATTACTCTCATATAGTTTCTAAACGATTGGATAACAGACGCCCAATTTGGAAAAATTTATGCACACAGTGATCACACATTTTATGTGGTATAGATGCTGGCATAACGGTTTCTGCCTAGGTACGCGTCTATAGTTTTGAAATGGACGGTAAAGACCACCGTGACTAGCGACTAGCCTGCTACTAAAGACCACTGCGCCAGGCACGGACGGTCTCACATTCCTATACAATGGTTGTGCGGTGCAAACCTCTTAACTAAGGACCACCTGCCACTAAAGACCGCTTTCTCTGGCCCCAAGGGGTGGTCGTTAGTCACAGGTTTTACTGTATATGAGTAACAGTTCAATGTGGGTGTAAGGTTAACAGAGGAAAGGGATGCTGGCGAAACGTTCCCCTTGACATCATAGGAGCACGAGCAGAATTCTATGCCCCTAAACAATCTATCTCGTGGCATCTCTAACGACATAGCCATGCCCTGCGTACAGCCCCTGCTCTTACCGTGAGCTGCTTCTTCAAGTTCTCACCGTCAACGGCACCCTGATAGACTGGTACCGGCTGTAGGGCAGAACAGATCAAAGTACACGAAGAGGGTGAATATGAGGGTGAATATTGCCTCAATCTGAAGAAACGTGTGATCTCACACAGCAAGGGCCCAATAGCGCAGTTCAGAGAAATGTGGAGAGCAGGGACTAGAAATCGCGACAGCACGAGTCACTTGCAAGCTAATGGATGGCAAACATATAGACGTTGTGGGATTACGTCATCATAGTGATGACATGTATGGAGTGGTGAGCCAGTGGCACAACAATTACGTCACCATTACAATCGTGTAGATAGAGTGGTGAACAGTGGCACAAGCACCAGTACCAGCACACACACACACATGGACACACACACACACACACACATACATGGACACATGGACACACACACACAGACACACACATGCACTACTACTACTATGTACAACTGCCACAAAATGGCCACGTCGCTCCCAGAAGCGGGAGACAACAGCGAGAAAGGAAAAAGAAACAAGGAGAGTAATTGAGGTGAAAGGGGACCGTTCTACACACAGCTACAGTCCATTCAGAAAAAAATGAACTTCTAGCTTTTGGCCATAAATGGGTCAAACGTTGAGTTTTTTTAGAATTTTTTTCTGCAATCCCATATGGAATCCTCTTCCAATTATGTTTCTGAAGTTTTTTTGTCCAAAAAGCAAGCCATAGCAAGAATAGGATTTCGGCCAGGTTTTGCCCCAAAAGCACTGAATTGGGAAAAACCATCAAAATCCAGGCCGTTTGACCCCGCCTGCAACAGTGCATTCTGCGGTTCGAACCCCAGTTCAGGCACCCTTTTTGGACCCTTTTTCAAATTTCAAAGTTCGCAGCACTGCACTGTGTACGATGAAATCACGAAAAATCGCCAAATACGGGAGCTCGCCAGAGCCAGGACCCATTTTTTTTATGAATGGACTGTAGTGTTTCTGTCTTCGGTGGCGGGTGAGGTCCTGCGGGCGGGAGAATCGTTCGCTACATAGGCTGCATTGAATGGGCAGATTAGTCCTCTGGTCCTTTCGCAGTCGTTTGCCTCGAGTACAATTATCACACACACACACACACACACACACACACACACACACACACACACACACACACACACACACACACACACATCACACCACACACACACACACACACACACACACACACACACACACACACACACACACACACACACACACACACACACACACCATGTATACGCCCGTCGCAAGAGAAGCACGCAAATCTGCAAATGCACTGGATGTGCACCTACAGCTTTTCTCTTATAGCAACAATAGCGGACAAGATCTGAATGAGACAGATCAAGACTAGCGCCAGATAACTGTCTAATCCACACAACTGGCGAAGCCATGTGAATCGACAGACAGACAGACAGACAGACAGACAGACAGACAGACAGACAGACAGACACACACACAAAGACATACACCCCACACAATGCAAAGTAAGCTAAAACTCGGCAAGTACCTGCTGTGACTGTGGCTGAGATGGCGCTGCAGAAGACATCGCAGTCGCCACTGGTTGCCTCGTACCCGACGTCGCAGTGAATGACGTGCTGGCCGACACACCGGTACTGGATGCTGATGTAGTCCCCAGAGATGACACCGATCCACTCGTGTTCACCTGATGGGGCTGCGTAGTGGACCCTTTGAAGCCGAAATGAGTGGGCGACACCACATCGGCAGGGACTAGACCAGTGGGCATCGCAGTGGGCCCGTCGTAACTCCTGGCAGTGGGCCCGTTCTCTTGCCGTACACTGGGGTGCGGAGTGGATGTGGACGCGGGCAGGAAATCCGGGGCGGCCGGCTGGACTGGGGTGGTTGGAGTCGGGCCAGGGGCATTATTAGAGTGACTGTTCGGCAAGGAGTAGTCACTGCCGGCCATCGGTCCGTTTGCAGATGACGCGGACGAGTGGTTGCTCCGTGAAGCATGCGCCTGTACACCCATGCCATTCACCATACCTGCTGATTGCTGCAGGAAACACACAGTTCAAACACAACACGTGAATGAAATTCTATTCTACAGTAAAGTTCGCACATCCGCGTTACCACCGGCTATACAATCGTGTTTAGAAAACAACCAGCTTATAATTCTGTCTCTTCTTGCATAAAAGCCAGCCTAGAATATTAAAGTCTGCTTTGGACATTACTCAGACTCTGACCACAAGCCCTGGTTTATCCTGACCTACATGTGTACGCTGTGAAGTAATGCGAGAGCGCCACACACACACACACACAGACAGACACAAACACACACACACACACACAGATACACACAGACACACACACAGACATACACACACACACAGACACACACACACAGACACACAGACACACACACAGAGCATGTGCCATACATCATCTCCTGCGCTTGACATGTCACCGAGACTCCAGTCTTGTCGATCACCCCCAGCTCTTGGGAATGTTGAGCTCATGACAACAGGTCCGTTCACTCCATTGCTCTTGGTCTACCAACGCAAATACAAATACAGTTAAACCTGTCAAAGCGATCACTTGGATAAGGCGACCACCTGTCCTAGAAGACCACCGGAACCAGGACCAAGGAATGCTATTTCCAGTCAAATGACCCTGTATAAGGAGACCACCTGGTAACAGAGACCACGTTGTGAAGATCCCATGAGTGGTCGTCTTAGGCAGGTTCCACTGTACAGTAAAACCTGTGACTAAAGACCACCCGTTGGAGCCAGGGAAAGCGGTCTTTAGTGGCAGGTGGTCCTTAGTTTGAGGTTTGCACCCCACAGCCAGGATATATGGATGTGAGACCGTCCGTGCCCGGCGAAGTGGTCTGTAGTGCAAGACTGGTCGCTAGCCACGGTGGTCTTTAGTTACAGGTTTTACCAAGAGTAGATAAACAAGAAGAGTGTGCAACTCCCGCATGGGTTGGCCCACGGCGGAATTTTTTGTTACGTAATCTTTTCTACGATCCACGCGCTGCGAGTCTTGTGGAAAGTTTTGTCTCGTGCACTTGGCCGGGCTTTACATTACAAGGTCGGTGCCCAGCACGTGCTCTCACACTCGCCTTCTGCGGCAAGATGCGCGTTTTTCTGAAAAAAAGGTGCCGTCAACAAAAAAAATTGCGCCGTGGGCGGGGGTATCTGCAGATTGTGCAGGAGAGATCCGGAGTTGCACAGAGAGAGAGAGAGAGAGAGAGAGAGAGAGAGAGAGAGAGAGAGAGAGAGAGAGAGAGAGAGAGAGAGAGAGAGAGAGAGAGAGAGAGAGAGAGAGAGAGAGAGAGAGAGAGAGAGAGAAGAGAGGAGAGAGAGAGAAAGTGAGAGAGAGAGAGAGCGCGCAAGAGAGCGAGAGAGAGAGAGAGAGAGAGAGAGAGAGAGAGAGAGAGAGAGAGAGAGAGAGAGAGAGAGAGAGAGAGAGAGAGAGAGAGAGAGAGAGAGAGAGAGAGAGCGAGAGAGAGCGAGAGATAGAGAGAGAAAGACAGAGAAAGAGAGAGAGAGAGAGAGAGAAAGAGAGAGAGAGAGAGAGAGAGAGAGAGAGAGAGAGAGAGAGAGAGAGAGAGAGAGAGAGAGAGAGAGAGAGAGAGAGAGAGAGAGAGAGAGAGAGAGAGAGAGAGAGAGAGAGAGAGAGAGAGAGGCTCCATCCATCACTGCCTCCAGACCCACGCCTTCATTGATGCACATGTGAATAGTGACATTAGTCATAATTATTACCAAGACTTTTATAATGTTGAAATATTATTAGAGAGGTTCCGCACTACGTAAAGTTGAGCAACTTTACGTCAGGGGGTTGGAAAAACCCATGAATTCGCGAGTTTGCACTCCACTTACGGAAAGTTGTCTACGTAGAGTACGTAGATAGGGCTCGGACAACAGAGGTGCCCCGTAAGTGGACTGGGGATCATTTGGGGTACACATGTATGACTCACGCCAAAGGTCGACCCGGTCGTACACTGCCACGTTCCGAGTTGCCAAGGGCAGCTATGTGATTCGAAAACTCCACATGGCGGAACACAAATCCGCATGCAGTATACGTAAGACTTTCCGTAGAGCGACTACGTTTTTTACTAACGTAAGTACGTTAGGCGGAACCTCTCCAATAACCCCACAATTTCTATGTCACAATGTTTCCTTGGGCTCACCATGTGAGGTCTTAATTTTTATTAAGATTCATGATGATCGTCTGTTGATGTAAAGCTGATACGCATGTGTAGGCGTACTCCATTCATAAGTATACGTACGTGTCATCAAACCCACTACATTGTACCACTGACTGACCTGGGGTTCAAGTGCAGACGAGTTTAGGTTTGTCTTATTGCCCTTGGGTGTGCCACGCTGTTGGAATTTCTTCAGCTAGGATCACGATACAAGCAAGTGCAAAGACAAAGTACCGGAGAGAAAACGAAAAAAATGTATTCAAATGCACTATACGGAACAAAGGAAGTGGCAATCAATCAGGCATGATATTTTTATTGTTTTCTTTTCGTCGTCAAGAAAATGCAATGGACCTATTCACCTTTTTGCGAGCAGAGGCAATCTTTTCTTCTCGGCTAGCCATTGTACTGCAGGTCCAACGATTCCACCTTCACTCACTCCTAACACTGCCACCGATGCCCGCGGCACAAAGAAAAGGACGCAACAAAATCAGTCCCTGTACTGTAGCTACGTAGACCCAGTGGCAGTGGCAGTCAACACTGACAACAGTCAACACAGTACAGTCAGCTCATATCATACTCACTCACAGGCCTTGCACAAGTCTCCGAACAAGGAAAGCAGTCAGATCATGTATGCTGCCGGCCATGCACTGCATGCACTGTGTATGTGATTTGCGATATCCGCGCGTGCCCCACGCGCACGCGGAGGGCACGCGATCGTGGCTAGCAGGAGTCGTAAAATACCGGTACTTTACGACTCGCGACGAAATTATTAATTTTGTTCACGTGTATTATTTTGTGTACACGTGCGATGTGCCTGGCGGGTTTAGTTCGCTCAAATATCAAATCTTCCAACAAACTCGATAAAACTCAATAAAACTCCGGAAACTCACACAAATTCGATCGGGATAACCAAGCGAAACTTCCAATAACCCACGTCATGAACGTCGTGCGGGACAGTCAACTCACGTAAAACACGTCAAATTTATCCACTTTTTATTTGGCTGCTGGACTAATCCACGACAGGACAATGAATGATCACGCTTCACAGGGACCCGGAGTAGACTCCCTGATGTCATGATCGCGTACGGCTGTCAAGAAGCGGCAACTAGCTTAACTTAGAAAGATGGCGTCGGTTCGAGATGGCATGGTAACCGCGCACGTGCCGTGGTCCGTGACTTGCTCATGTATGCACGCAAATGCAAGTCACAAACTCACAAAGATCGTCTTTGCATTTGGAGAAAATATCTTCGACTCTCTTTGGAGGTTGGCGAGGTTTGCCTAATCTTTACTTGATTGCGATGCCGGTATGTCCTCTCAATAATTAGAACAAAGAGAGCTGATGATCGCTTCATTGCTGAGCAGAAGTAACAATCAACTCTCCTCATGTCCTCAGTGCCAAAGGCAGACGACTCCAATTCCACAACGCTCATTTCACGATGATGGAAACAATAATCGTGTACTAGTACACACTTGGACCATTTGGTCATCCCTATTCTAGCCGCTAGTCCGTCCAGCAAGCAGATATTGACTATTACGATAAGTACAACTGCGTGAACGAGGGCTCACCCAGCAAATTCAATTCAAGACGTGACTCCAGTCAAGAATTAGGGTCTTTACTCGAGAACTTCACAAATACAGGTCAAGGCACCCCACAAAACTGATAGATGGCACGAACGAAAGACAAAATAGGCTAGACAAAGTGTCCCAAGTGATTGAAAACAGCAGATCTACCAAATAAGACAGCTACATGTGCCTAAACAACGATTCCCATACAGTAGAGAGTAGACTGTAGTATCAGGCAGAATGAAAGCCTTGGAAGTGCACAAATACAGCCACGACCGCCACAAAAATTGGACGACCGCCACAAAAAAATTCTCATTGCTCTACCTCCTTGAAGGGTGAAAGTTACCAGTTATCCTATAGCGATGTCAGTTTATGCCTGTTGGAACCCCCCACAGCCCGCACGAAATACCTTTCAAATATTTCCAGGATGCAATTGCAGCTCCAGACAGGAGGAAGAAGAACACCGTGAAAAATAACGGCAACGATGCCCAAACTCTCGGGAAACGGCTGAAGTCTTCCTGAAGATGTTAACATTGAATAGCCATCGATTACCAGCGTGGTTTGGTGACTTTAGAACTGTTTTGAGACTTAGAACGAAGCGATATCTCAAATTTGATGGAATTGTTACCTGTCAAATGCGTGGGCGAGCAGGCCAGCTGACTGGTTATGCATGAAGATGCATGAGCATGCATTGATTTTTCATGGTTCACGTGCAGAAAACTAAGTTGCCGCGATCCAAGTGCAGCTAACAGCCGTGCGTGCCCTGTGTCTCAAGTATTTGTTTTATTATTCCAATGATTATGTAGTTCAGCCTACTACATGATTGTAGTTTAATAACTTTGGTTTTGGCTCATCATAGCAAGACACTGCAGGATGGCGACACGCAGCCGAGCTGTCGTCCTGATGTTGCTGTGGCTCTGTGTCGCGATCGGGGAGCCATGGATTGCGGGCGCGGAGGACGATGGCGGAATGTGCACTATGGAAACAAAGAAAACCTGGTGAGCGCAGACGTTGCTTCTGGAGAGTACGATCGAGTGCATCCCATTTTTGTGTCTCAAAATCGTGTGTTTATCTGTGCATGCAACCCTGCAAATGGCTCAATTAAAATTTGTAACTCTAAATTCGGACTTATCGAGTACCTCAAATCCGTACATTTGCATTCCGGGATTCAAATGTGAGGTTGCATTTCCAACATAACTACAGTGTTCTGTACAAACAAGAGTACATAAACCTTGTTACAACCCTGATATCATAATACATGCCACCAAGAATACTTTAAAACCCCAAGAGTGTGCAACTGCTGATCTGCGAGGTATGGGTGCCGTGCGCGGCGCTGCCTGGATTTGAGGTTTCCTATGGTTTAGCCTCAGCGATTTCATGTGCAATAATGGTAAATTCAAAGGGAATGCCTGTGCATGATCCATCACGTACAAAACCATACGAAGTCACCGAGGAAAGCGGATTCGGAAGCAGGAAAGAGATCAATAATGACGCAATGGCTCACAGTTCGTTGCTACGCACTGCAGGCGGCGCGCCGCGCCACACCCCGCATAATGCAGAGTTGCATACTCTTGGGTTATGTACTCTTGATGCCACGTGGCCGATGCCTCGTTTATAGCCAATTTGCGACCTTCCTCTTCGGTCTTCGGGCCGTAATAGTCGATTCACACGAAAAGAGAAACTACAGGTGATCTGACAGGCACGACCCTCAAACCCGAATATTTGATTCTCACGGAACACCAAGGATGGCACAAGTTGTGTACCGGCGAGTTATGTTGTTGACCGTGGCACCTGGGAGGATTTCGAGGTGTGACCCGGGAGTCGTACGAACGCTGTGCGATTTCCTGGACGTATGCGAAAACGAGCAATCGGTTGCTACACACGTGTGCTTTTCTGCGCTGCATGTGATTTTCAGCTCTAGTTCCGACGGACGGAGAGTGTTCGTGTGCAAAGAGCCCGTATCACGACCGTAGCAGTCCCGCTCTCGTTGGTCCGACGAGATCTGACTCTGACTACCATGTACAACAGTACTAGAAAAGCTGACAGGATCGCTGTTCTAAATGTAGATTTACTGTGTGTCTCGCACTGAGCTACTGTGGCGGGAGTCGACTCCCTGTCCGGTTTTGCAGGCTGGTAGATCTACGTGACTGTTCTGTGCGTGCATCGATCGAATGCACTGGACGGAGTTGCCGGTTCGAATCCTTACCTACCTGTACACATGCATGCGCTTCATGACTTTTTTTGGGCGAACATTCGTACGGCAGTTGCCGCACCTGCCGGACCGGCTGCTACAATCCTGTGTGTGCACGTTTGGATTCCTGGGGCCCGATTTGTGAGTTTTGCGTGGTTATGGGTGTGGATATGTGTTGTCAAGAGTACATAACCCCCCAGAGTGTGCAACTCCAGTATGGGTGCTGTCCCGACAGAATTTCAAGTTGACGTCATTTTGATGATGCAATGCGCACTGTACACGGATTATCAGACGAATCCGGAACCTGTGGTTAACCGAAGCCGATCAATCCTGTACAAATTATTGCAAAGAAAAAACGTGTGACGCGTTGACACCCGTACACATGTTGTAAATCACTGGTGCAAGGAGCATTGCGTCATAAATAATGACGTCAGCTTGAAATTCTGTCGGGACAGCAGGGTATGTGGGAGTTGCACACTCTGGGGGGGGGTTATGTACTCTTGGTGTTGTTCTGGGGTGGAAAGGTGGGATGTGCTTTGTTTGGAACAAATTATGATGAGTGTGAGAAATGGTGGTCCCGCTCCCCTGGTTATTCCCTCTTCATCAGACATGGATTTTTCAGTTTTTTCCTTCCATTTTGCTGTTATTGCGTAGCTCTGACGACACCGAGGATGCCAGTGGCGGGGAAAAGACGGACCATTACAGCGAGGAGGTGAACACTCCATCGGCTACTGAGGCTGCTGTTGGTTCTGACGCCAATCCACCCATGTCAACAATGGCTGATAGGCCCGCTGTAGATAGCCAGCCAAAAAAGAAGAAGGCTAAAAAAGGTGAGTAAAAGCAAGTCATGTTTTTTTCTATTAGGAAAAAGGAACATTGTGTAGGGCCTCAGGTTGTGTGCTTTTCCTCCTTTTCCGCTTTGTAGGGGCCGTCCGTAAATACAGTCATGTATTTAGTTAGAGACGTCTGACAGGCGTTTCTTTCTTGACCCACTCACCCCCAGAACCCCCCCCCCCCCCCCCCCCACATGCACATAATACCACTCATAATAAACACCATACTATGCACACATATACAGTGCAGTCGACTCCACTTATGACGAACTCGCATAATAGCGAGTTTCCTTGTAATTATAGCGAACCCTTGTCCATGTCCCTGTTTGAACCCATACAAAAGTGACCCTTTATAGCGTACAGTTATGTGACCCTGTCTACTCTGCCGTGATGCGTGCAGTGTAGTGCGTCTCAACGTCTACCTCCTGTACTAGCTGTGGTATAGGCAGTGTAGCAGTGCTACATCATGTACATGTACATGACTGTACACGTACGGTGTTGAATGCATGCACTCTTCGAAATGTATTTTTTAGAAACGCATTGCAGGCGAACCCACCCACCGGAAATGGCTGTTAGACGTCTCTAAGTAAATAGATGTATTCACGGACGGCCCCTCATAACCGAAAAATATCGCTGGGGTTGCCCTGCCACTCTGACCCCCTTGTTTTTAATTTTAGTCATTATTCCCAAATCCCTTCTGAATCTCCCCTACCCCCCCCCCCCCCTAATGAGGGGGGGGGGGGCACACAGCCAATTTCCGGCAACGGACTAATGTGTGTGTGTGTGTGTGTGCGTGCGTGCGTCTGTCTTTGCGCTCATTGCCAGGTGCATACTGGGAGGGACTGGAACATCTTCACGTTGGCTGTGTGATCTGCGGAGATCGCGTGCCCGAAGCGCTGGTGATGATGAAGTCTGGTGTCGTCTTCTCCACGTCCCCGCTCACCTTCCACATCTTCACTGAGGACAACCTGAAGAAGGACTTGTCCAAGGAGGTAGGCAACTGACCGATGCGTGCGTGTGTCTTGTGTTCTTCTTGTGTCACTCCAAGTCGGTTGATTGCGGGCTGCTGCTGGTTCGAATAGCCCCGATGACTGCATGGGTTCCCAGACACGAATGTCGTCAAGCTGGAGAGCACTGCCTGCTGTCTCAGATTTAAATACGCTGCGTTTCGTCTATTCTGCCCCCCCCCCCCCCCCTCCCTCTCCACACACTGATCGTCTTCTTGCATTTGCTGCCTGTCGTCAGCTCAATAAATGGCCGGACGTGGAAAAGCAGCGCGTCACCTACAAGTTCCACCCAATCAAGTACCCCGATACCGAGGACAGCAAGACGTGGCGAGAGACATTCAAGCCGTGTGCCACCATGCGCTTGTTCATCCCTGTAAGTTGGCACACAGATGTTTGTCGGTTTGTCATGATGTTTCCGCTGCTTGTTTACGGAGGAGGCTTCTGGTTCTGTATACTCAAGACAAAAACTATACTTGCAAAGCATATCTCTTCCTCCCTCTTCCTCTCCTCTCTCTTTCTCTCTTCCTCTCTCTCTCTCTTTCTTCTTCTTCTTCTTCTTCTTCTTCTTCTTCTTCTTCTTCTTCTTCTTCTTCTTCTCTCTCTCTCTCTCTCTCTCTCTCTCTCTCTCTCTCTCTCTCTCTCTCTCTCTCTCTCTCTCTCTCTCTCTCTCTCTCTCTCTCTCTCTCTCTCTCTCTCTTTCCTCTCTTCCTCTCTCTCTTTCTCTCTTCTTCTTCTCTCTCTCTCTCTCTCTCTCTCTCTCTCTCTCTCTCTCTCTCTCTCTCTCTCTCTCTCTCTCTCTCTCTTTCTCTCTCTTTTTCTCTCTCCATCACGCATGCTCATATGCCTACCCACATGCAGGCGAGCACACGCACGCACGCATGCACGCGCGCGCCCACACACACACACACACACACACACACTCTGATGCGCACCTGTTCCCATCTATATGCTCCCTATTCCCATCAGACCACCACGGACATTGACTCCCTGATCTATCTGGACACAGACATACTCTTTATGACACCTGTGGAGAAGGTCTGGAAACATTTCTCCCAGTTCAATTCCACACAACTTGCAGGTATGTATACCAGTGTGTCTTCTATTAACCCTGTCTCGTGTAGAAGCCTGTTTTGAATACAAGCCTGATTTTCTCGATACGCTGTCGGCGCATACGCCTGGTTTTTAGTGCTGACATACATAGAAATACCTGGCTTGAATAGACGCCTGGTGTGATTAAAATCCTAGCCCTGGCATCGGCTTCCACAGGAATAAGCCGGGCTTTATTACGCAACATTAACACCCGCGTTATGACTGCCTTGGTGCTCTGCAGAGCTACATCGGTTGCGGTTGTGAGAGATGAAGACGTAGATTCCGTTGCTTTGTGTCATTCATTGAGAGCGTTACACATCAACTTGTTGCTATACTACCCTGATACTCTATATCCACCACTCAGAACGTTCTTCGAGCCAACAAATTGTTCCTTGATGATGTGTACATGTAGATACACGGTTACACAGAATGACTGCACCATTTAGTTGAGTCATTCCTAATTTGACAAATTAATGTTGTCTCCTCCTCGACTCTTCATTCAGAGCTCTGCTTTATTTTTGCTTTGTTCTTCGCCTCCGCTTTCTCTTACACGGTAGCCGTGGCTCCCGAGTCTGAGGACCTGGTAAATAGTTGGTACCCGCGCTTTGCCCGTCATCCGTTCTACGGCGCGGCCGGGATTAACTCGGGCGTTATGTTGATGAACTTAACCAGGATGAGAGGTGAGCTTATTTAGTTTCGAGTGTACCGATGATATGCTGTGCGTGTCCGTTGTACCGATAACAGTGGTCTCGCGGAATGTTGCGACCTGCAACCCTGTGTTTTCGTGTCAACAACTTGCTTGTGTGTGTGTGTGGGGGGGGGGGGGGGGGGGCACGCGTGTCTGTGGGCGTGTTGTGTGAGTGTGTTTGTGTAGGCACGTCTGTGCGTGTGTGTGTGTGTGTGTGTGTGTGTGTGTGTGTGTGTATGTAACGCTGTGAGTGAGCCTATCCATCCTCTACATTCACTCATCACCCACACAGTGCAACCTGGTGTAAGCGACCTCTGTGTTTAGCGACCACCTGTGTAGCGGGCCGCAGTCTCTCGGAGGCAAGAATACACAAGGGTCTCAGTGAACACACTGTTGTTTATTAAAAACGGAACTGAAACGAGAGAGCTTGGAAGCTCAGGGCCCTACGCTATGCTTTTTTGCCTTGATGACCTAGACAAAAAAAAAAGCATAGGGATGTTATAAATTCTTTAAAAAATTCCTTTTTTTAAGACACAACCTGGGATTCGAACCCGCACTATCGCGCGTCCTGCATGCATCCCCCGATACACTTCGCATACATACTAATTCTTCCAAGTTGTTTCACATTGTGATCTTGCATTTGAAAGCCCTATTTGAATATGCATTGTGGCCAGCCGTCTTTGATGGCACGGTACGGTAGGGGATAGGTACGGGACAGGTACGATCGAGGGTAATACGACACCGTCTCCCGTACCGTACCATCAAACACAGCTGGCCACATACAGCTGCCCGCAATATTCAAATAGGGCTTTCAAACGCAAGATAATAACGTAAAGCAACTTGGAAGAATGGGTATGAATGCGAAGTGTATGGGGGAATGCATGTAGGGCGATAGTGCGGGTTCGAATCCCAGGATATGCCTGAAAAAAAAAGGAGAATTGAAAAATTTATAACATCCTATGCTTTTTTGCCGTCAGATATGGATAGCACCAGGCGTGACACAAACAAACACACAAACAAACACCAAATTAAAGCTGTGTGGACCCTGGCTAGCGCCAGACGTTACTGAAGTAACGTCTTCTGCATAGCTACGGGAATAAAGGTAACTCTAACTCTAAAATTAAAATGCAACTATACCTGGCAATGAAATTAACTGGCAATTAAAATGTAACTATACTAGTAACTGCAACAAAAGAATCGTGAGCAGCAGCTTTTATACACAGGCAGACTCCGTAAGCTAATGTACGGGGATACGCTATCGTACGGGGAAACGCGAAATGTACGCTATATGCGATACGCTAAACGCTGTGAAAGTCACCAGCGTGCCAACGCTACACCTGTTCTTAACGACCGTTTTCCATGCACCGACAGTTCTACACAGACACTGTGGGACCTGGTTCTAAAGACCACCGACTTTAACGACCGCTTTTGCTTGCACCGTGTGGTGGTTTTTACTGTACATGCTAACCATTCACCTTGATCTCTTGATCTCTCCCGTGCAGCTGTTCACGACGGTAGATGGCAGTCGGAACTGATTGAGATCTTCCGCGAGTATCGCCACAACATCAGCTGGGGCGACCAGTGCCTGCTCAACATCTACTTCCATCGTCATCCAGGTAGGCCGATGCTGTCCGCTGGGACTGCGAAGGGTAGGGGTTTGGTCGGGTAACGAGTTCGGGTATTTCTATCCGGGTAGCGCGGTTACCCTATCGGGTATTTTTTTGACATAGTTTGTGCAGTGAGTGTTCACTTGCGCTACGTCGGAAGTTTATAGAAAAGGAAAGGGTCCTTTTCTTTTCTATAAATTTATCCTTGCGTCTCCATCCGAATCCATTCTTACGTTGAAAGTGTGCAGCAAACACGTAGCCGTGCTTTTACAAGCACCGTTGCGCAACGCCATACTCCACAATACCCGATCCGGTTCTCAGGAGCAAATTGCTACCCGAATGCCCGCTCTAATCATGGGCAGCACGGATGCCCTGCTAGCGGATGACACGCATACTCTCCGCAGTGTCTATCCTTCACTCCTAACTTACACACACCAACAAGCTCAGCCATGAAAGCTACGCAGATAGTCCGTTCATTTCGCGCCTGCTCTTGTAGCAGTTGAACACTCTTACGTGGGGCAGTGCCTTTGCTGTTTGCGTTATGCAGAGCTCACTGACTTGTCAGTTTGAGCACCCTGGCAAGTACATTCGGGCCTGGTTTAGATCTGGCTTTGGAAAATTTATTTTTCATTACTATCAGGTTCGGCCTCATTTTCTCTGTGCTGAGCTGATGAGTCCACAAAGGACGAAACAGTTCTGTCCGCAGATTGAGTAGTCCGTTGAATGGCGTTCATAATAATAATAAAGATGGCCTCTGGCTCTAGCGAGGTCCGATATTTGGTGAGTTTTGTGACATTGTTGTACGCAGTGCAGTGCCGCGGAATTTGAATTTTGAATTGGGTCCAAAAAAGGTACCTCAACTAGGATTTGATTCGCACAATTTACTGGTTCAAGTGGAGTGAAACGGCCGGGATTTTCTTGGCTTTCTCAATTCAGTGCTCTTTTAAGGCAAAGCCTGGCCGCACACACACTCACGTACGCACACACACACACACACACACACACACACACACACACACACACACACACACACACACACACACACACACACTCACGTACGCACACACACATGTTACAGAGTATTTTCTTTTCTACCAAAACATTCTTTCTGTCTTTGTTGTTGTTGCTGCTGCTGCAGAGCTTGTGCACGTGTACGGATGCGACTGGAACTATCGTCCTGATCACTGCATGTATGGTGTCAATAACTGCCATCTATCTCCCACTAAATCCCCCAAGGTAGGAGCACGTTATTGAACTTATTTTAGAACGAGGTCTGTCTCGTTGTCCAGGAAACGACCAATCAGCAACGTTCCCGACAAGGTCGAGGGCCTTGGATTAGTTTAACCCTTTGCGTGCTGAGGACGAGTTAACTCGCGCTTTATGCATAACCTGATCCACTACGTACGAGTTAACTCGCAAAAAGATACGCGCGATATATCGCAGAGCATAGACCAGTGTACAAACTTTCGTAACTTCGTCAAACATAAACGCATCGCGACATTCAATACACCGTTGTAAAGGTCTTGAACTCATCTTTCCGGGTATATAAAGTTCTTCGCGATAGGATAAGAATACACTGAGCGGCAACAAGATGAACACGGAAATCACGGGCCAGAGGGAGCGCGTTTTTTGAGGAGCGTGCCAGGGGATTTTCCTTTGGCACGGCGAATGCGTGATGGACATCAAATAAAGCGCTTGGATCTCAGCTTTGCAGCGCAGTTTGAATCGTGAAAATCGGTTGAATTTGGGCAAGAAGCCGAGTAAGAACGTGAGATTAAGTTGTTGTGCCGTTCCGAGGCACAGTGGAGTAGTTTGGAGAGGGCGTGGAAGTGGCCCTGATGTGTTTATGGAGCTGAGAGCTGCCAGGATGGATTCGCTTGGTCCTGATCTTTCCAACGAGCTCAGGATGATGAAAATCCATCTAGGTGCAGTGAAATGAGAATACATTTCGTTCGGAGCTGTGAGTGCATACTCCACCAAGAGAGTCAGTGCGCTGGAAAGCCAGTAGATTGGAGAAAAGGGGCTCAGCATGCAAAGGGCTAAAGCCTGCTGAATATACTCACTTCCACCTAGTACAACTTCATGTACGGTGCAGACAATGAACTCTGCACAAAATGTACGGTGTACTGTATAAGCGGAAATGTTCGTCTGGAATTTAATTTCGTCTGTTTCGTCCAACGAGCTTTTGGACTAAATTAAATGTAGGACTAATGTCGATTTGCCCAGCTTTTCTATACACTCTAATGATCCATGGACGAAATTTTCAACCGGACGAACTCCTGTTCTTTGGAGTTGGACGAAATTATTGACCGACGAAATTTTCTGCCTCTACAGTAGTACTAAAAAGCTTCCCATTTCAGAAGTGTGTACGGTATTTGCCTCCCGTACTCTTTGATATGTACGATTTTCCTTTCTCAACAGCTGGCTGAACCCTATAAAAACAGAAGATCAAAGTCATCATAGGTATTAAAAAAAAAGGGGCTCTCGAAGCCCCTAAATAGCTCCACAAGCTATGAATAAGAGTGAAGGTCGCAATAAGAACCCAACCTTTCATTTATTTATATTCTACTTTTAGTAGTCCTCAGTGGTGCTGAGTTACCAGAAGAAAATATTCTCGTACCACACCAATTCTCTCTGCACACAATCCACAAAATTACCCAATGAAAGGGTACACAAGCATAATGCATGTACTGTAATATCACAAATTGTCGGTGTACTTTTATTTTCGGTACTTTCGGTGTATCTGTTTCATACCTAAAATTTCAATACACCGAACAAACACCAACACACATATTCCAATGGGGAACTGCTTCTCTGTACCTAATATTTCTGTTCACCTAACCTGGCCCTTTGCCCTCATACCGAAAATATTGAGCACCGAAATTTCTGAAATTACAGTAACCTCGTTCTAAAATAGTTAGTGCATGGCAGGGAGGGCCTTATGGCTTGTTTGTGCCCTTCAAAAAATTTCGAGATTTCTTAATGGGGACTGAGGATGTCAGGGGTGGTGTTGATGGCTGGAGTTTGCTCATCCGCATTGGCGTGCGTGCAACTATGTGCGTGCGACTAAGCTTCAGTTGTGCAGAAAGAGACCTGCTTGAATCCTGCCTGTACACGTTGCATCAATAAACTGATGTAATCACGGAATTTTCGCCGTGACAGCACCCCATCAGAGCTGCACATTCCGGGTTTCATGGACTCTATCCTGGCTACATGTACTGCTATTGTTAAGTTTCGCAGCAATCATCTCCTTCCTCTCGCCATGCTCTCCTGCCTCTCCCCATACTGTCCTTTCTCTCGTTGTCCTGCTGTCCTGTAGCTGTTCCATGGCAACCGTCGAGCATTCCACGACGTGCCACGTCAGCCCTTCTTCACGGCCGTGTACGAGGAGTTCGTGAAGATGACACCTGACAACGGCCTCAAGTCCAAGCAGTTTGTCAAGGATCTCGCCAAGGCGTTTGATCGCATCCAGAAAGATAACTGTCTGCTGGCACGCAAGCCGCTCCTCGATGGCATTCGCCAGGCTAGCAAGTCCGTCTCGAGCCGGAAGGAGCGCCTGAAGAAGGCGGGCAAGTAATGTGTGCGCGCGCGCGCGCGCGCGCGTGTGTGTGTGTGTGTGTGTGTGTGTGTTTATGGCGATACATACTACCACTACCAACACTGACGACTGTCTGCAGGTGGACAGTTCCGACACTTGATTCGATTTGATTGATTTTTGTTCTTCTTCTAATTGTCCGCAAACGCCAACACAGCCACTTACCCATTTAGGAAACTTCACTTCTCAACTCTGAACTCCAAAAACGGTCTCTTCACTGGGATTAAAATTAAAAATTTACATTACACCAAATTTTCGGGCCTGGCCCATCATCGGGGTAATGAATTTGGATCCTTTTTTTTGGAGTTTGGAGTTGAGAAGTGAAGTTGATTGATTTTTTTGTTTATAGTCTACAGACTATTTAGTTTAGTTTGCTGGCCTTGCCAATTGTGTCACCACGATGCATGTGTTAGTTCTAGAACATTCACCTGCCTGCATTATTCGTCTTTGTATATCGTGTTTTTGCCTCCCCTTCCTCAATGCCCTGATGATGCCCAATGGGCGAAATATTGGCAAACGTAGCTATTTGGTGCAGCTGAGAGCCTGTTGCCGGAATGGCGGTATTTTCAAGTGCAAGAAATACGCTGCAATAGAGTTTGGGACTTCTGAAGAGACTATTAAAGACATCTGTCTATTAACAATAGGCTTAGAACTGAGACAAATGGACATTGTCTTCTGCAGCCGCTCGTCCTCCTAGCAGCGTTCCAAGTTGCGTGCTTCCTTTAGGAATCCCTTCGGGAATGATGCCGTTCCCTTAGCTGGCCATAGTTATTGTGCGCATTATGTTTCCCCGTTGCCCTTCCGCTTCTCGCTAGTCCAGTTCAAGTTGTTGTTTTGTAAGGTTTAAAAAAGCATGTAATGGAGTTTATCAGTGGACTTTTTTCCTGCGTTCGTTTCCTTAATTTATTTCTCCTCCGTGTCTGAGCTTTCCTTGAGCAAGTCTGTGCCTTGAGACCCTTGACGAATCTCCACTGTCTTAAAATGATGGTTATGAACATGCTGAATGCTGCTGCTGCTGCTTAGCGTTTGTACTGTCTCATTCTGTTCACGTGTCTTCTCGCTTGTCAATCGCTTTGGGGTGATAGGCGTACCAATTCGTTCTTTCTGCCGAGCCGAGGAATCCTGCTGTTTCCCAAGCGTGTCTACCACTGCTGGTTTGCAGAGTCGGTGTGCTTGGCTGTCACAGCTAGAATGTTTTGCAAGAAATTCCAAGATTGGAGCATGCCCAAGAGTGCAAGAGTGAGTGCAATCATGTACATTTGTAACGTTCTTGACCTGCGATGGGCTCACTCGCGGCAGACTATTGTACTGCGTCACTCTCTCTCGGATCTCGTAGGGCTAGTGAATACGTAGGCCGTTGCATAATACACTCAAACGTCTCATTTCCGGACGCCTCAGATACTAGCACGTCTCTCTACCGGGCACCTTCAGCTTGAGTTCCTATGGCAAAATGCTTTGAATTTTGGGGGGGGGGGGGGTGAAGTTTTTCGTATGCGCAAGTGCTTATTTGTCACTGCCAACCTGTGAAATCCACACATTTTTATCAAATCTGAGACACGGGCAGTGCCCGGTCCCAAGGTGCCCGGATAAGAGAGACGTCCGAGTGTAGTCATAATCATCGATATGGGGTTCGTACGTCGGGCTCAGGGCACATCCAGCTATTGCCTATAGCTGCTAAACGGCTAAACCAGATGTATTTTGAGTGCCATAATACACAGAACAACAAGGAAATGGCTAGTTTGAATGAGTAGCTATAGCTGTATACTCCGGCCTGATGATTGCTAAGCATGACACTCGGAGTAGAGACAAACTAGCATGGCTGTCCTGGTGGCACTTGGCTCCGGGGATAACGGGATGAAGGGTAGGTTCAGTTTTCCACTGCTCGCCGAGAAGTTCGGAGAAATCTCTCTGTTTGTCCTCTTTGGGTTGGCCCAATAGTCCATGCAAGGCGGACGCTATTCCGCTTTGAGTTTTTTCCACTGTTCGCCGAGAAGTTCGGAGAAATCTCTCTGTTTGTCCTCTTTGGGTTGACCCAATAGTCCATGCAAGGCGGACGCTATTCTGCTTTCAACTTTTTCCACTGTTCGCCGAGAAGTTCGGGGAAATCTCTCTGTTTGTCCTCTTTGGGTTCTCCTTTGCCAACTGGTTCCTTTCCTTTCTCGCCCAGACCATGAATGGGTTCATGGATCCATTGCATGCCATCATCTTTATCCGCACTATCGGGCTGTCTGGTCTGCGGTATGTAGAGCTGGAGCAAAGCAATACACACAATACACGTGCTAGTTAGGCTTGGAAGTCAACGAGTGACACCTCTCTCTCACCAAAACCATCTGGTGGAGTGGAACAATAACAAGAGCGAGTAGTACTTTCAACTTTCCTGTGGCAATGTCAGCAAGCGGATGGACGAGCAGCGGACGATTGATTTATGGGATATGGATTAGATCAAGAATCTATACCGGTAATCCCCCAGAGGTCGAGTGCACAACTAATTACTTGACTAATCCGAGGCAGAGGGGGGAGGGGGGGCGCCCGGGGCGGTGAAATCCGTGTTGCATGTCATAGCATGACATCATGAGTAGGGGAAGTGTGGACCGTGATAGACCGCGTCGACGAATGCAAAACAGGGCCCACCAAAAAAAATTACTTACATCACGGATTACCCCATGGAACACAATGGCGGGAAATACACGACTGCACACACAGCGTTTTCTTTGTACTGTAATAGCATATTATCAGTTATGGGCACTTATGTCGCAGGTCGGAGTGGGTAGGGGGGGGGGGGGGGGGGAGGGGTCAGATCTCTCAAGATGACAGGGAAGAAAACAGCTAGTGTGGCACAAAAATGGAACGGTCACTCGTAGCCCAGTGATATTGCCAAGAGTCAAGAGTACTGTAAAAGCAGAAATTTTTGGTTCTGTTTTATTTTAGGTAACTTCGGTGCCGACAATTTTTACCGATAATACGGCTGCGTTTACACGACAACGATTGAAAACGATTTGCGTTTACACGACAACGAAGTAGGACCTGAACGGAACGAAATCGTTGCGTTTACTACTATCGTTTACACGACAACGCCCGAAAACGATACCTAAACGGAGCGAAATGGAAACGCACTTCAAAGTGTTTTGAAACGTTTTGAAAACGTTTTCGTTCCCGTGTAAACGGTGAAAACAGTGAAAACGATTGGAAACGGAGCGCGGTCATGGAAACCATTCAGTGCGGAACTATATTTCGCGGGAAATACCTGACCTTTGCGACCACCAGCACGTACCAACTCCAACTAACGTGTTACTTCCCGCCCTTGCGCCAAGCCAGCACGTGCTAACTCCAGCCTGATCGCCAGTTTTACGTTTTCGTGTAAACGGTTCAAAACGATTTGCCGTTCTTGTGTAAACGGTTTGAAAACGATTCGAGGCCAGCCCATTTTCGTTCAGTTTCGTTCCGTTTCGTTTTGTTTCGTCTCCGTGTAAACGCAGCCTAAAACTCACCGAAAATTTCGGTACAACCGACACTGTATACATGTAGCACTAGGACACCTACCTGGAGAACGGGTTTTACCGAAAATGTCCCTCTACCGAACCGCCGATTTTGGAGAATACCGAAAATATTACACCACCGAAAATTTCTGCTTTTACAGTACATAACCCCCACGTACTTGATATTGGACGACCACCCTGCCTGCACAGCTGGTGTGTCTGTGTTGATGTCGTCGTCGTCGTCTTCGTTGAAGGTGTTGTTAATTTATTTTACATTGCGCCCAATATTATGAAAGCGACAGTAAGAAGAGTGAGAAATGAAGAAAACAAACCTTTGACCTCGACCGTTGACTCCCTATCTCCAGAGGAGATGATAGGCCACTGAGTTGCGTAGCACTGGAGGTAACGCTTCAAATCGCCAGGAGAGGAGCGTTTACCTACCTCTCAACAAACTATTCCTTCCCAAGGCTGTGCTGTGATATACAGGAAAGAATCCTTTGGTTACCATGGCAACGCACCCCGAAATTCAAGTCCATATTTGGCATGGAACGGACACGTTTTCCTGAAATATTTTTTTCATTTCCGACAAACGCGTGAATTTGCTATACTATTATGTCAAATCGTCTAACAACAAAAGCACGCAAGATCTTTTACAAAGCCTGCGGATACGTGAGACCGGTGGTGGAATATGCTGCAGCCGTATGGTAGTGTGACAAGTGTCGTCTCACAGCAAAGCACACAGAAACCGTGGGGAAAATCCAAGCGCATTTTGTATGGCCCCATACCTCAAAAAGAAGAAGATTTTAAAGTTCAGTACGAAACCACCAAGTCCGACTTGAACAAGCTTGCGTAGCCTCGCGATGCTCGAGTCTCTGAAGTATCGGCGGCAATTCATGTATTGGGTTACGCTGCATAAGCCTATCTTCCACCACCCTAGTTACCTCTCACAATTCAGTTTCGGTGTTTCTAAAAGTGCTCGGTAGCCTAACAAAATCATTTTACCTAAATACAAATTCTTATCAAAGTCTTTGTTCCTATTTAAAACTTCTGTACTTTGGAACTGTTTACCACTGAAGATGACCGCTGCAGACTCCCTGCAGAAACGTTTACGTCTATACACACACGAGCTTCCCATAGAACCACTGGCATTCCTACACCTCAGCAGTAATTGTACATCACATTTTCCTTTTATTATTTTCTCATTCCATGTGTCTGGTTAATTTATTCCACCCTCCCCCCCCCCCCCTCCCCCTGTTATGCTACCCATTCAATATCGCACACGTGGAGAACCTCTGGATAGGCTACCCGTCTCTGGCCTCTGGGTTATCCCTCACATAAAGATATACCGGTATGATCAGTGGCTACACGCCGACCTAAAATCGTCCAGAATCCTTCCCTGAGAGGGGGTAATGAAAGTGCTCTATTTCAATCGATTTAGGATTTGGCCGATGTACTATTTATAGTGGATCGGACACGATTCTACATTACTGACTGTATCAGCAATTTACCTACTATGTTCCCATGCAACAGCCATGTTTCCTTGCTGCGGGATGTTGCACGCCAAATCGTACCGCGGAAAATGCATCGAATAGAGAGGTTAAGTTACACGTTTTTTGCCCTTTTTCAAAACGCGGTGCAAATCTCACGTTACGTGTAATTTTTAGAGGTTAAGTTACACGTGCGACGTGACGTGAAATTTTGCCTGGCAGGATTCGGGTTTAGTTCGCACAAATATCAAATCTTTCAACAAACTCGATAAAACTCGATAAAATTCCGGAAACTCACACAAATTCGGTCGGAATAACCAAGCGAAACTTCCAAAAACTCACGTCATGAACTTACATGTACATGTACGTGCGGGACAGTCTCTTATTTTGATCTTCTTTTCAGCAAACTCCCTCATTGATCTGCACCGCCTGTATTGTATAACTGTGTTTACTGCGTTCCTAGTTTAAATTCGTTTTTAAAAACATCTCTTTAATTCTTGCATTATCCCATTATGACCATGCTTAGAGACGCAGCGTCTTTTCAGAAGTATTTTGATCTTCTTTTCAGCAAACGGCCTCATTGATCTGCATCGCTTGTATTGTATACCTGTGTTTACTGCTTACTGCTGCTTTATTGTTCCAAGTATCAGTTTAGTTTAGTTTAAATATCTCTTTGAAAAGAATTCGGGTGGACACACCCATTCCCATAGCGCTGCATATCACATCCGAAACGTTGTAAAAATAACGGAACTGGTTCGGATGTGATATGCAGCGCTATGGGAATGGGTGTGTCCACCCGAATTCTTTTCACAGATGAAGCTGCAGGAAGCCTCAGCCCTTCTTTAAATATCTCTTATTATTATTATTATTTTTTCTCACCCCACACCCCTCTACTCTGTTATCGGCCCTCTTAAGAGTTGTGTTCATCACTGTTGAGGCTTCCGATGGAAAATAAAAGAATACTACTACTACTACTACTACTACAGTCAACTCACGTAAAACACGTCAAATTTTACGTGAGTTTTTTTCCCTTTTTGACGTAAAAGTTCACGGACGTAAGACTTTTACGTGAAACTTAACCTCTCTATTTTCCGTAAAAACACGGTCAAACTAGTGGCTGTTGCTAGTGTTGCAAGGAATATTCCAATAATTATTCGATTGATATTCGTTTGGAACCCGATGGAAGGAATATTTTCCCCTTTGGAATATTCGTTCGTTGTATCTATCGTAGTAATTCTAAAACGGACGGAGTGATATGTACATGTACATGATTGTGTTATGTGTTGAGAAAGGGGACTATGAATCACAAGAGTAGTGGACATGACTTAACTAGACATCTACTTGGTCTAGAATGAACGGGGATTAGCCAAATTTGATTTCGTTCCGATTTGAATGTTTGTTTTACCCCTAGAAATAATTCAGCATTTTGAGAGAATATTCGTTATTTGTTCGTTATTAAAAAAAAATTTCACGGTTCGCGTGAGACTCGGCTGGAAGCCTATTCGTTCGTTTGGGAAATAGAATATTCGTTGCAGCCCTATTGCCGTATTGCCAACTATTGGCAACACAGCACATCGTCCACCTGGAATAGATCTCCTCAGCCCAGTGCATGCAGTACAGTGTAGTGAAGCTGGTCGACACTGGGGTACGGGTGTCGTCTGTGAACAGGCGAATCGATCGAGCCAGGTCAGGGGTTCGACGGGCTCAGCCACATCCGGTGTTAGATCCTGCGTGCCACAGCTGATAGTGACAGCATTTCTGAGAGTCCTGTCTCTCACACGTGGTAACCGGACCAGCCAGTGCGCTGTTTATTGGTTTGCTACACAACAATCTTCTAACGGTGTCAGTGATTCGGTGTGCGCTTTGCCTTCGGTCCCACCGCGATATTGCCGCGTGGAATGCAAATGATCAGGAATGGGCAATAGATTGGCTCCGCTGTCCCCTACATGAAAAGAAGAAGAAGAATACCGACGGGAGTCTAGCTTTTCAGATGTTTTTCAGGACGGTTCAGCAGCATTCCTGCACTCCTGACTTCGAAAGCATAAACTACTTAGGTTGAATTACGGTTCCCTTACGAACCATTTTTTGACGAGTAGACTACGAGCGCTAGTGAGTTTGTAGCGTGCACGCGTGGTCGAAGTCAATTCCAGCCCACTTCGGAACATTTCAGCTCGCCGCGATTGTCTCACGAACACTTTTGAGGTGTGAGATCACCTATCGTCGCAGCAGCTCCAGTGGTGGCAAACTGAAAGCGCAATTTGACGTGCAGGTAAGTGGCTGTCTGTGAGGTTTGAAAAAAGGAGAAGTCTAAGATGGGGAAACGATGGAGTGCACATGTATGCGTGTATATCGTCCTGCTGGATCGGATCGTCCTTACCCAAATAAACTGGCACGTGGAGCTGTCGTGAAAGAGCAGAACTCTATGTCTGGCGTCCTAGCGTAGTAGCGGCTGCACCTTTGAAAGAGGGACGCAGTGGCCGTACACAATAGTCTACATGATCTACCCAATGACCGCGCGACTGTTGTGATGCGAGTATGTATTCGATTCATTGTATGGAATACGGATAGCCCTGGCAGGCGTTGAGTTCTTTGCATTGTATTGTATTGTATTTTCTTTACCGATTCGTTTCCTGGGCTGAAGTAGCCCAAGAGGCGAAGACGTATGCACCTGCGCCGGTTTTCATGTTGTTGTTGTTTCTGGCAGGGTCACAGCCGGAGTCCGGGGACCACGAAGTAGAGGTCATTCAAAAACATTCATTCATTCACATTGAGCTTGTGTTCGTAGATCTACCACCAGCGCGCTACACACATGCACGTATGTTATTCCCTGGAAAGGAACACACCTGCGCGTTTGTGTGCGATCTTGTGATCTTGTGCCACCTGCGCGCTGACCATTCAGCACGACTGTACAATTATGTAGAGGCCCTGAGCGCGCGCGAGAGAGAGAGAGCTAGAGAGGGTAAAAAGGCTGTGCACAGGAGCAAGCTGGGTGGAGTTCCCCTTGTGTGTGTGTGTGTGTGGGTGGGTGGGTGGGTGGGGGATTCATTTATTCTCTGTTTCAGAGAAAGCTGATTGAGAAAGCTGATTTGTATTACCATTTCGAACATTCACTCATGCAGCGTTTCAAGGGGAGAAAAAAAGGAAATTAGCCGGACTCGCGGGCACATCACCTGACATGTTGAGGAAGACATGAAGCAAATACACTAACATCGGCGGGCCACCACTTCGCTCATACATCTTGATGTTCCAGAGGAAAGGGAGAGGAACTGATGCCTGTGGTGTTTCACTATCGTTTCCTTCCGAGTCTTGGCATTGTTTGTCTCCAGTCCCTGCTCTATAGATGGCGGTGATGAAGATGCAGCTGGCTATCAGCGGCAACGCTGTACTGCTGCTGTGCTGTGCCCTGGCTATGGGGTGGCTGCATGCGGGCGCTACAGCGCAGTACACACAGGTCGGCCTGGGAATCTTCTTCCTGAACGTGGGCAGTAAGTAAGACTGGTACATACAGTGCAACCTGTAACTAAAGACCGCCGTGACTAGCGACCAGCCTGGTACTACAGACCACTTCGCCAGGCACGGGCTATCTCACATTCATATTATATGGTCGCGCGGTGCAAAACCTCTAACTGAGGACCACCTGCCACTAAAGACCGCTTTCTCCGGCCCCAAGGGGTGGTCGTTAGTCACAGGTTTTACTGTAGCCAAGTGATACGATGTACAGTGGTGCTCCGATAAAACACCCAGTGCAAAATGTGCTTGCCGGACCCTGTACAAAGCGGAAACCTGTATTGACAGGGCAAATGCTCATGCACCAACGTGCTGTGGATTGAACGTGCATCCCTGGATCCAGCGGAATCTTATCGTATCAGGACTGCTGCACCAAGGATGTGCGGTTAGGGCAGGTTTTGTTATACAGTGAAACCTGTCTGAGACGACCGCTCAAAGGACCTTCAAAATGCGGTCTCTGTTACCAGGTGGTCTCCTTATCCAGGGTCATTTGACTGGGAATAGCATCCCTTGGTCCTGGTTTCAGTGGTCTTCTAGGACAGGTGGTCGCCTTATCCGAGTGGTCGCCTTGACAGGTTTTGCTGTACTCCCATAGGCATCAAGAACATGTAATTGGTATCCGAGAGGTACACTACTTCTCATCTCATCATACAGTAAAACCTGTCAAGGCGATCACTCGGATAAGGCGACCACCTGTCCTAAAAAGACCACTGAAACCAGGACCAAGAGATGCTATTTCCAGTCAACTGACCCTGGCTAAGGAGACCACCTGGAAACAGAGACCACATTTTGAAGGTCCATTGAGCGGTCGTCTTAGACAGGTTTCACACTACATTAAAACCTGTAACTAAAGACCACCGTGCCTAGCGACCAGCCTGGCACTACAGTAGGCCTTGACAGATTATGGTAGCATAATTTTTCGCATAATTCCTACCAAAATCGAATAATCGCATGATTCGAGGCAAATTGCATACGAATCGCATAAAATTGGACTAATCCGCCTGTTCGCATCAAATTCCATACAGTTGTACATGTTCTACAAGTACAAGTACAAGTAGACACACCAGGAAGGCGTAGGTTTACGACTCCCTTGATAACATGTCCAGTCCACTACAATCAGTGACCAGGGTGACGGTCATAGCTAGGTCGGACGGTGCGTTGACCCCGTTGAACTTTTGCTACTACAGTACAACGCCCTCTACAAAAAAATTCACCTGTTATTTTGCACAGAACCATCATATACATTAGCAGCATATGTGAGCATAATGCCGCATAATATGATAACTTTTCGCATAATAATAGCATAATTCTGCAATTTTTTCAGCAATGCGAAAAGCATAATTTCACGAAAATATTAGCATAATCTGTCAAGGCCTACACTACAGACCACTTCGCCGTGACACATACAGTATGTCTCAATACACCCGTGCTCTGGACGATGTCCGTACCGGGCAAGACTATGGTACACTGTATTATGAGAGTACATGTATGTAGTAAGCGAGTTTCCACTACACTGTACTAGTATGCACATCATCCCAACAGCTGGCACCTGAAACCTGGCAGGCCCGCACGACCCGGTTGGTCGGGCTATCACCGGACAGACTTTTCGCCCACCAGCACGTGTTTACCGGTGTGGAGATCATGTGCCCCCCCCCCCCCTTACATCATACACAGAGCACTGTAGGCCATGATACTACTTCCGCTGGTCCTGCATGGCACGTGCAGCCCCGTCTCTCTAACGCATCGTCTGAGCTTTCTCTTCTCTTCCCTTCACCTCTACACATGTTCATCGAGTGTTGGTCTGTGTGTTTGTATAGAGGGCCTGCGCGAGTGAGCATCAGGCCGGGCCACCGGAACCGTCCCGATTGTTCAGGTCATCAGCGGACCGACTTGGTGGCCAATGTGTTTCTGATGACCGCCTGCGTGTGCGTGAAACTCAGAATCACAAGCATTACTTGTTGTTGAAACAGTTAGAGGTTAGGAAATCACATCATGATTTGTGCATTCCTTTTTGGAAAGAGGGAATGCAACAAAAGCATGGCAAACTGCAATGAGTTTTAGGTCCTTCCTTGCGCTGTACGAGATGTGAAGTTCCTTTCAGGAGCAATCATGTTCGGCCGTTCTTTGTTAGCAAGGAATTCTGTGTATCATTCTATCTATCTTGTCCTGTTCAGAGATTGACCTAGCTGGCTCAGCTTGCTATCTGGACTATTTGTTGACGGTGAGACAGCTGAACAGGACGCTCCCTACCTTTGACACTGCCACCATGTATGGGGGCCTACAGCGTGTATGCCCATCGAACAGTTCAGCGGAGGGTAAGTCAAGGTGTACTACTGACATGCAGCCATCCTAGGGAATAACGACCCTCCACGGTGCCCTATAGTTTGGGCTCTAGATAAAAAAACATGTCATGGGGGGGGGGGGGGTGCTTAGGTGGTCGATCATACCACTCTAGAATACTGTTTGACGTCACTGCAGTGCGATACTTGATCATACCACTCCATCACTGGAGGACAATAATATTAGTTATACCAACTAGGCCCCACATGCACTCTCTGGCCAACCTGATTACACCAGCAACATAACTCCAAGTTTCAGATACTGACAAATTCATTTCCCTCCATTCAGCTCTGTTTCGACCATTGTGGCTGCATTCATGTGTCTCTTATACGGGTGATCCGAGACCAGGCACTGCCCATAACTCCGAATTCCATAACTCGCAATCGGATATGTTTCAATAGGGAAGTGGCCCAAGATCTCGTACATGACGTCACCTTTCCAACAAAAAAATCCCCCAATTTTGTCAATGGTTCATGTGAGACTCAGCTGGAGGCCGAAAAGGGTAATAATATTGCCACTAAAACTCACCCACAGGGTGCTCGGTAGACCGAGGTGTCTGTAACTTTGAAGTCCGGATAACACGGATATGAGTGTGCTGTAGCAAAAGAGAGAAGAAAACACATGAGAACGAGTTATGCAGCAACTATCCGCGACTGTATGCAGCAACTATCCACGTTCTCATGTGTTGTCTTCTATAAAAAAAACATTAATTACTTACTGGCTCAGTATCTGAGCGGACTGTGTGTGAATTTCCACTTTAGAATGGCTGGAGTGGAGAGGGCAGGCAAGCGACATCTCTGTACCCAACCTGGAGCGGGCTGGTACAATCAAGAAAGTGGACGATACGGACAGTGTCTTTCGTGTACAGGTGAGAACCCTCCTCCCTCCCCCTCTCCCATTACCATGACTATGGCTTGGATATCACATCTGGCTGCGGCCAACAAACCTTCAATGTGTGTGTTGTCGCTATTGCTGTCTATGTCCCTGGGTGTGCCAGTACACGTGGAGCGAAAATATGACTTGGATATCTGAGGCATGGTTGAGGAAAATATCAGCAGGAAGTTTTAGCGTGTGGATGGTCTGGGAACAGTGTGGATGGTCTGGGAACAGCAAAAACGCCGCTGAGCAGGAATGTGTATTGTGTGGGCGGTTTGGATGATATGGCACTGCACAATCGTAGGAAGGAAGTTTTAGGGTTTGCATGGCTTGACACCGCAAGATGGCATAGCCTCGCCAGGTATGTAGACTGGGCAATTGCCAGGCTCAAACTGTCTTTTAAATCTGTTTCATTCAGAGCTTGTCCGCTATCTTGACTCGACGACCTGTATGTGTACATGCGGTGCATTTCAAGAGCTGAGATTCAAAGCCCGATCTACGCCAAATTTGAGAAAATAATTATGATTTTAAACAAGACAGTGTTGCCAGGCAAAAAATCACATTCAAAATCCGACAAGAACCATTTCAATACTGGAACTCAAATTTGGATTTAGATACCAACCGCACATAAAATCAATCCTTTTTGGGCCATTTCCGAAAAGTGATGAAATGGATTTAGCGGGTTTTGAATCTCAGCAGTCTTCGTTTGCAGAAACAAAATTGACCGCAGATAGCCCATAATTTCATTGCTTCAAAAATCACTGGAAAAATTATCTGCCGAAACCGGTTCCGACACCGCCGACATGTCTCGTGTGTATTCCGCATGTGTATGTGTGTTTGCTTGTGCACAATGTGTGCATGTGCATGTATGCTAACATAATATGTGCTGTCTTGTTTCCAGGGTGCCCACTACTTCCAGACAAACTTGGAGAAGTACCCTTTCGAGACGCAGATCCTGGAAGCTTTCATAGAGATACGACGGCAGCCACACGGGGATGTAAGTTTGAAGATAGGACGCACATGTGTGTGTGTGCGTGTGTGTGTGCATGTGTGTGCACGTGCGTGTGTGTATGTGGGCATGTAACATGTGTGCATGTGTGTGTGTGTGTGTGTGTGTGTGTGTGTGTGTGTGTGTATGTGTGTGTGTGTGCTCATGCGCGCGCATGCGCGCGCGAACGATTGAAAGTTTCGTTGCAGCAGCCATCATGGGAGAAAATGTACGAGGAGCACTGCTTTGCTGGTGTTGTGCAAAACACCAAAAGCCTACGATTATTGATTGACGCATCTAGCTACTGTAGCCTGTGCATGCGTGCAGCGTACAAGTATGAACTTGTTGTTCTTCCAAGAATACTGAACACCTACGCTCGCACGCGGTGACGAGAAAAGTCTGAGCGCATTGCTAAATTTCGAAGATACGATAAGCAGAGCTTCTCATCTTCCTGTGTTGTTTTATGCTGTGTCTACGCGTAGGTTTCCAAGGTTGCATTGTGTCAGCTAGAGGATTACGAGTAAGTAACTGCAGTTATTCTTGCTGGTTGTCCGTCTGTGATCCATTCCCTCTCTTCCCTGTTGTGCTATTGCAGCAAATGCAGGACGGGTGAACAAATGCAGGACGGGTGAAAGCAGCGTTTGATTGGTCCCGCCGTATCCCACCCTTTCACACTTTGTATACGATAGGGCCGGTACACTCGTTGGTGGCCAAAGAGCCTCGCAAACTGGACCAGTTCCACCAGGCCGGGCCTTCAATGGCTTCATTCCTTTGCAGATCATTCCACTTCTGGTTTTGGCTCTGTGCCTTTGAGTCAAAGGACTGTCATGCCAACGACTGCTTGGTGCTTCCCATAACATGCATGCATTGTGAATATTTAAGAAAGCTCAAAATAATTATACTAGTCAGTGATTGAGAGGATTGCCGCTTTTGTCTTCCTTTGCCATTGAACCTTGTGCAGTGGCTTGTCCAGCTGGGTAAGGTTTCCAGGCGAGGCAGAGCTGGCCTTGCAGGTTGATCACGATGTCAAAGAGCAATGCTGGCCACCGTTTTCCGCACCCCATGCAATCTGCAAGAGCGCGACTGGCATCACATCGGATTGTCCGTGTGACCCACCACCAATCGTGTACCACAACGAGTCAAGGCACTTCTCCTGCCGGTAGGTGCCCGGCGTTTGCGGTGCGAGATCGGTGTGTGTGTGTGTGTGTGTGTGTGCGTGCTTGCGTGTGTGCGTGCTTGCGTGCGTGTGAGTGTGTGTGCGTGAGTGCAAGTATGTGTGCCTTTGTGCAATTGTGTGCATGCGTGTGCATATGTCATCCTACTGTAAGGCACATTTTTGAAATCGCGAGATAAGCAGGTACAGTCAGACCTCGCATATCCGGTCCTCTTTTCTCCGGGTCCCTCGCCAACCGGAAGAAAATAGCTGGTTACAGATGTACGGCATACGTGATGCATCCCACAAAACCGGTGTTCGATTATCCGGTTCCCTCGCCTCTCCGGACATTTTGTGGAAAACAGATGTGTGCGGTTAAGCGAGGTCTGGCCGTACTGTCCTTCTCTTCATGTTGACAGGTGCCAGGGTGGTAAGAAGTTATCGTCACGCTACACAGCCATGATCTACTTTGACCGTCCTGGTAAGCACTGAAAGCCAGTACTTCTCATTTCTTTGTCTTTGTGTCTGTGTCTGTGTATGTCTGTCTGTGTCTGTCTGTCTGTGTGTATGTCTGTCTGCCTGTATGCGTGTCTGCTGGTCCGCTTGCCCAGTTTTCTGGACACCTGTTTGGTTGCCTATCTTCTGTCCGCGTGTCTCTTTGTTTTCTACCTCGTTGTCTGTCGGCTTATCGTTCTCTCTGCGTTCCTCCTCTCCCATCCACCTGCAGAGAACACCGCCTTCATCCGTGTCCTATTGCCAGCCGTATTCATCCTGCTCGTCATCATCATGACTTATCTACTACCACCCAAGACTGCTGATGCCAAGCAAACGGTTGTGCCTGCTCTGAACGCATCATCAGTTGCCGCCACAACGACAGACCCCGTGTTTACGGAAGCACCTGCGTCGTTGTCCAGCTCTGCGTCCTCCAGCATCGAGCTCCGCAGACCGGCGGCACGCCTGCAGTCCAGTGCGTCATGGCAACCGACCTCCACGAGCGGCGACAGCGGCGTTGCCATGCAACCACTCCGGTCACAGCCTGCCAGGCAGACGGAAGTCTGTATTGTTTGTGACGACGTCGACAACGCAGGAGATGACAGCACGCACGTCACCGCCAGCGCGACAGCAGTCAGTAAGTACGGTTATGCTAAATGAAATCCAAACTGAAGTGCACCACTTGTGCCTTGGTCATCAACAAGATCGGTTTCAGCACCCACTTGAATGTAGCCCATATCTTTGTTACTTGAACACATTTGTGCAGAAAGTCATCGTGGCATGTGCGCAGTGGAACCAACATGGCCAACATCATGTGACCTGTGTATGCGAGGGTAGAGTGGACAGTGGAACCAACATGGTCGTTCCATGTGGTCATGTGATCTATGTGGTCGTGTGATCTATGTATGCGAGGGTAGAGTGGACAGTGGAACCAACATCAGTGGTCGTTCCATGTGGTTATGTGACAGGTGTGAAGCCAAGTTATTGTCCTGCTCGTGTTGCTGGGCTCTTCTTCCTATACAGGGTTCAAGATGTGTGCCGCAACACTGCTTTCGGCAATATTCTACCACGTCAGCTTGATCAATCAGTTGCCGCCGACGTCTATTTTCACCGTCGCTGACAAGCTCATGATCAATCTCTATGCAGTAGGTGTTTTGTTAGGCTGTGTGTGTGTGTGTGGGGGGGGGGGGTATGTGTGTGTGTGTGTGTGTGTGTGTGTGTATGTGTGTATGTGTGTGTGTGTGTGTGTGTGTGTGTGTGTGTGTGTGTGTGCAAGTGTGTATACGTGACTGTGTGTACATGTATGCACGCGTGTGTGAGTGCACGCATGCGTTAGTTCTGATGATCGTTATTTTTTGGACTTGTCTTGAAAGAAACGGACTTGAAAGACTGGCTTTACATGTGCCGTCCAAAGTCAAACCTCCTCAGGACAAATAATGATAAAGTGATCTTTGTAGTACCAGAAACCCTACACTTGGTCGGGCATCAAATCAAGTTATAATAATTGTTCACTTGAAGCTGGGGTGGTACGACCTTTTAGGGGTAGTATTGACTACATTTTGACTGATTTTTTGAGTTTATCGGCAAGGTGGAGATGAAATTTGAAAAGGGTTTTTGGTGAATCTCTGGAGAATAGCCTTCTCTAGCTTCCTTTAGTTTTCTTTTTTTCCTTTGTACAAAACTTGAAAACGTTTTATGAAAGGTCCGTGTTATTTTTCCACGGACCTTTCATAAAGCATTTTCAAATGTTGTGCAAAATCAAAAATAACAGTTTTCGAAGCTAGAGAAGGCTATTCTCCAGAGATTCACCGAAAATCATTTTCAAATTTCATCTCCACCTTACCGAAAAACTCAAAAATGCAGTCAAGAATTTCCTGAAGAAGTTGTACCGGCCCAGCCACCTTCAGAGTACTTCCTTGCTCTCTCATTTGATTTTGCCTGCATTTCGCCTGACAATAAGACTTGAAAGAATACTAGTGGAAATTACCGAGATGTTGCTCAAGAGCCTGAAGTGTGTCCTTCTTCTCACTATGATCGTGTCCTCGCTCTCTGTTTGCCATTGTTTAGATGAATATCATGTCCTGGGTTGTGACCATCACCTTCATTATGATGGAGATGGGCGATAGGAAAAGTGTGCCATGGTCAGACATCAAGAAGACGTATCGCTTCACGCGCATCGTCGGTCCCATCTTCAGCCTGCCGCCGTTCTTCATCACCTTCTTCACGGAGGAGGGACGAGAGTAAGTTTGACCGGGGATAACACACTCAACACGACTGATCACACAGCATGGGGCTGTGTTGTCCAGAACAAGCAAAACAAAATTGGGACAAAAAAATTGAATGCGAACATGAACACCATAAGCAATAAAGTTAATAAACACACAGGAGGGCAGCGAGAAATGGTGACTAGTCTCTGGAGATGTGGGCTTCTGATACTGCTGGAGTGTGTGATAACTCATTAGAAGACCAGGGATAATTGCACGGTGGCAGCAAAGCCTGTTGTGAGTTTGAAGGAATCCATTACCCGAAGAAAATTTAATAGTCTTGTTGGTCTGGACCATAGCAACTACTTTAAATTAAACTTGCCAAATGTTCTTTTGCTAAACCGCATGGTTGTCTATTTTTCTGCTGAAATTGAGGTGAGAAAGCTATGATCTGGTTGACAGCATTTCAGCCACGTTTCAGGCTACATGCGTTGTTTGGAACTGCCGGCACTGATGACAGTTGATTGCATGATGACACCCGATGTGTTATGCCTGGATGAATGGGGGGGGGGGGGGGGGGATGGAGGGAGGGATCCTGGGGAGGGGGATTGAGTTATGTGTGACGGCTGTTGATTGTATTTGCTTGGTGTGTTGTTAGATGGGTGCCACCCGTGGTTCTACTGTTGGCTGCATTGCTCAGTGCACTCTGCTACCAAATACAAGAGAAGGTCTATGGAGCGTAAGTCCATGCTTTGTTCAGCGTAGCTAAATCTTCCCTTGTTCCGACTAGCAGCCACCAGAATAATATTGAGACAAGAACTTGGGTGGACACCCACAACCCCCACACAACTGTTAATCACAGCCTGTTCCGTGAATTTATAGCGTTTTAGCATTTGTCCGTCGTCAGGTAACATAAACAACGAGGTGCAATGGGAATGGGTGTGTGTTAACTCAAGTTTGTTCTCTGCTGATAAAGCTGCAAGAAGCCTCAAGGCTTCTGCAAGCCAGCAGCATATTGGCTATTAGTGAATTAAGAGTGGATGTGTGTGTGTGTGTGTGTGTGTGTGTGTGTGTGTGTGTGTGTGTGTGTGTGTGTGTGTGCGTGTGTGTGCGTGCGTGTGTGTGTGTGTGTGTGTGTGTGTGTGCGTGTGTATGTATGTGTGTGCACGTGCGTGTGTGTGTGTGCGTGTGTGTGTGTGTGTGTGTGTGTGTGTGTGTGTGTGTGTGTGTGTGTGTGCGTGTGTATGTATGTGTGTGTGTGTGCGTGTGTATGTATGTGTATGTATGTGTGTGTACGTGCATGTGCGTGAGTGTTCTCTTAGGACTGGCATTCTGCGCGCCGGAGTGTGCTCGCCAAAATAGGGGGACCACCATGTATTTTCACTCTGAGTCGGACATACTTTCTTCTCTGATCTTCTTCCCTGATCTTTACCATACAGGATGAAGTCGCGCCGAAAGGAAGAGAAAGACGGCAGGACACGGGTCATTAAGAAGAACAAGAATGGCCAGGATGATATCGATGGTGAGGCTGCGGGAGATGGCGGCGCATCTGTTGCTCATGACGACGATGATTTGAAGCGCGGCTGCTGCTGCAACTGGTCCATGTGGGCGGACTATGGCCAGTACCAGCAGGGAAACGAAGTCATTCCCAGACCAGCTGGCAAGGGCGTGACTCCAGGGCCTCCGCAACCAACGCTAACGCCACCCTTGGAGTCAGAGTTCTAGTAGCATGCGTGTACCTGCGCAGGCAGAACTGTGGCACTTTGCAGCGAGATTATCGCGAACCTATGGACACCGTGGAACTGCGCATGCAGCTCAAAATCCGAGTCGTCCACTGCACTCTGGACACGAGGTGCATTCAGGAAACGTATTCCTGGAATGTTTCAGTCGTCTATGCGGAGCAGAGCGTGCTCTATACTCCTGCGAACACTGCACATTTCAATATACAGCTCTGTGTTTATTTCTGCACATGGGTTTCCAGTCAGAGCACAGGCCGGGCCACTATGTGTAGCTAGCAGGGGACTACATACAAGTACAGTCGAATGTCACTTATCCGGTCGCCAGTTATCTGAGCACGTTGGTTATACTTGAAGTATGCTAACATGTATGTGTACATGGAGCAATTCATGAATATGCATGAATATATTTGGGTATTGTGTACAAATAGCGGAGTCCTCCGGATCGATAGAGTGCTCAATGCGGAAGCAGAGCAGTAACACACGAGTAACAGGAAAACCACGCGTCTTGATTGTCGTAACTTAAAGTTTCATGCCATATAGCAATCTTCAGACAACTGATTACGGTGATGCACAGCTAGTATGGTATTTATACAGCAGCATAGGAAGGAATCTGTGAAGGTTTGAGGTCTGGTGGGTGCAAAAAGTCCTGGATGGAAAATGTGCCAAACTCACATGGTCCGTGAGTGAGAAAAGAAATGTGATATGGCAGGAAGGCAAGCAAGGCTGTGTGAAAGGATGATAATGATAATGTGGCTTGCCTGTAATCACAATCATGCAGGTGCAAGATGCCACACACTTTGGTAAGCGCTTAAAATAAGTTGGAGGAGGGGAGATACTTGCTCTTCAATGCACCAACAAAACAGGTGCAAGATGGAACGCGCTGTGATGCACCTATAGCCATCACAGCGCGTGGAAACTTCCATCTTGCACCTGTTTTGTTGGTGCATTGAAGAGCAAGTATCTCCCCTCCTCCAACTTATTTTAAGCGCTTACCAAAGTGTGTGGCATCTTGCACCTGCATGATTGTGATTACAGGCAAGCCACATTATCATTATCATCCTTTCACACAGCCTTGCTTGCCTTCCTGCCATATCACATTTCTTTTCTCACTCACGGACCATGTGAGTTTGGCACATTTTCCATCCAGGACTTTTTGCACCCACCAGACCTCAAACCTTCACAGATTCCTTCCTATGCTGCTGTATAAATACCATACTAGCTGTGCATCACCGTAATCAGTTGTCTGAAGATTGCTATATGGCATGAAACTTTAAGTTACGACAATCAAGACGCGTGGTTTTCCTGTTACTGGTCGGGTATTGTGTACATAAATCAGTGAAATCCAGCCATATATGCACATAAAAAATGATATCAGTTATCCAACATATCCAGTTATCCAACATGCCTGATTCCCGAAGAGGTCGGATAAGTGACATTCTGACTGTACAGTAAAGCGACAGACTTTCGTGGCGTGCAAATTTGGCGTTTTCATAAATCGGGCTGCTTCACGACGAGAAACGTTTGCGATTCTATCTCTTCAGTCGGATCTTGTACTGTCTACAATCGATGTACGGAGAGGTTTGCGGCGATTTATATCCGCGAATGTGTGATGGATGATGGTGAAATTTAATCTCTAGCGAAAATTACTCATTTGCAGTACTTCAAGTACATGTAATATTTGCTACTGGAGGTGCAGAGCCGGCGCCACTGGTACGGCCGGTGCTGCCATGACCTCACCAGTTGGTGCCAATTCCTGCGTTCATGGGTTGCTCAGTGTGCACCTGAGTGCCTGGAATGACTAGTAATAAGGTATCCTCTCATACGCTCCTCGCTCGAGTCTCTCCCTTCTGTATTTCATCAGCACAGCTATTAACTGGCATTGTGGATAGCGCCTACCCAGTCCAATGTACTTTTTGTCTTTCAACATGATTTGTAGGTTTATGCTCTCTTAAAAAATATAAAAAATTCTTCTTGTGCATCGAGGTTTACTGCGCTAGCCGTCATATCTCTTGCTAGATGAATGTGTAGCTGAAGCAAAGAGATTATGTTTGAGACAAAGAGCTAGAGATGCACGTGTAGCCTCCCAGGATTTTGAAATTTGGCATGGGGAAATGATCGGTCCTGTAGCCGCACTTGGGGCCCTACCATCCCTCAGGAGCTGGCTCCGGGCCGGACTGGTGGTGGTGGGGGTGTGTGCAGTGCTGCCAAATAATTTTCGCCCAAAATCGGACACCCTTCACCGCCAAGGCTGGCCACATGGTGCGAATTCTTCTCCTCGGCAATTTTTTTTACAGAGAATTAAAAATATCGCCTAAAACACCATGAAAATTCGCTTCGTTGCCATGGTAACCCCAGAGTTGTCATGAATTTTGTAATGATGAGTGTGGTCGCACACTGACTCTGTACAGACTCTCAGTGTACATGCCATCCAGCCTGATCCAGGCATGTTACATGTTACTTTGCACTTCCACAGCCAAGCGCTAGCCTTTTTAGAAGCAAATGTACAGTGATGTGTGCCTTCAGTTGCACTGAAAAGTGAAAGTACAGGACTTCTGCATAGGAAAGTAATGATCTCCGACATTTTGGCTGCTTTTCGGACGTTTCCCTTTTCGGACCGGTTTTCGGAAGAGCCTTCAAACATCGGACACTGTCCGAAAAATCGGACGGTTTGGCAGCACTGTGTGTGTGTGGGGGGGGGGGGGGGAAGGTGGGGTGGTGTTGTTTATGCATCATCTCGTTGAATGGACTTCTACCGCCATCTGTCCACGTTTCGCTTGAGACACAGTGAGTGTCCAGCATCCTTAGCTAATTAGGAGCGCCACCATCCTGCAAAGATCAGAAGCGCAGATGCAGCTGTATTGACCCTGCTAAGATCTCCATTTTGCAGTCTGAACATTCTTTCCTTGCTGCGTCCGTTTTCGCCGGTGTGCTACGGAAAGCAGGAACCGTGAGGTTTTTACCTATGAAAGTAGCGTATAAGCATGCATGCGTTTATCTTTCTTCCTGCACCCTCCCCGTATCTTGACAGTGGCATGGCTGTTACCCCTGATGATGATTCGTTTATTAAATTATTTTTGATTTTCTAAGCGATCTTGGCAGTGGGGATGGATTCCCACGAGTGGGCTCGTGTATATATGTATAGCTCATCAGGGGATTGGAGCATGGAAGTAAATCTAGATCACCAATCTTGATGTAAATGTGGTGCAAGCTCTAAAACGTTAGACGGAAGTCGAAGCATACACTGGAACGTTACGCTTGACAGAGAACTAGGTCAGCCTACATTGTATCAATGGAGGAGAAAAATTCTTAGAAGGCCAATTGGGGGACGGGGGGGGGGGGGGGGCATTGAGAGTCTTAGTACGAGTATAATAATAAATAATGCGGTAGGACAATTCAAGATTAGCTGGTTGTTTCGTGATGCATGCGGGTCTACGTAGAACGGTTTGGTGCATGCTGGGTGACACCACGCTGGCGATGCTACACTCAGATTCTTATGAATACTATTACCGGATTCATCGAGATTCTCAAAATGCATTGGTTAGTTGATTGGGTCCACGACATTCAGAGAAGACGTAACAGAAAAGTACCGCGCAGGTTTTGGTTGTCGCCTTAGCTTGGGTGTTCACTTTGACGTGAACATGCTCGAAACAAGGATAGCTGGCGTTATTGGCGGCTTGATGGGCTTAATGGAGACGTGGAAGAGGAATTTTCCTGCCATTGGTTGAAGAAGGGGTAACTCTCCCACATTAGGGAGTCGCAAATCGCCCTATTTTCGAAGTCAGAAACCCGCCGCTGGGTCAACATTTTTGATCCATCGCTTTCGCACAGTATTTTCGCGAGTTTGCGGTGGGAGAGTTGTTTTCTCTTCCTTGTGTTTCTGACCAGCTTTGTGAAATCTGCGAGTTCGTTTCTGGTTGGTCGTACCACTGCAGGGGGAACAGGAGTATTGTTTGGCTGTGTCCGGGCAGAACCTGGGCTAGAGTTGTTACTTCTTACTGGCGTCACAGCAGACGAACACCCTTCGGAAACCGACAAGCTGGAAAATGCTGACTGAGGATCCGTAGTCTCATCGTATCATATCGTGGTCGATGATTATATTAGGAAAACAGTTCGTTTTTGCCAGAGTAAATGTGCTTTCCTTCAGCCAACGGCGAACATCTGCATCCATGAGAGCAATGCGTTCCCAATCCTGAGCGATTTCGCAGGCAATATCTGGAGACAGTTCTTCGGTGGACCTGCTGGGTGTCTCTGCATGTTGCAGAACGGCTTTAACACTCTCACGAAAACGAGCGGAATCCCAGGACAGTTGATCAACAAGACAACGTGCGGGCGTGCCATGCTCCGCAATGTTCGGGCCAAATACCCGCTGACACCTCCATGACGGTTGTATCGCCGTAGAAGTGTTTGAAGTTTGACTGAGCTGTGTTGTGGTATGGCGGACGGTGTCAGTCATGTTTGCAACGGTACTGCTGTTCGCGGCTCCAGTAGCGGCCTCCATGCAGGATGCTCCGCCCGTCCATGATGGTAGGTCAGCCATATCAACGTCTAAGAAATATCGAAATTGTATGTATTAGGGCTGAAACGATCATTCAGTAACTCCTAACGATCAACCAATATCATTAACGATCGATATATTGGTTTTATCGATTCTTGTCGGCCCTACTCATGTACCTCGAACACCAGATAATGAAGAAATTCCACAATGCCTTTGCTACGCTAGAAACTTGCCGCATCGCACTGTTGACATGTGGCTGGTTTTATCAACATGAACTAGAGTATTTCATCTTGTTCCCAGAGTGAAGAATCTTTTCATCACCCTCTGGCAACTTCTTTCATCTCCGACCTCTCCCACAAATGAACCGAAAAAACAAAGCCTTCTCTCCTGATCTCTTTCAAAGCCACAAATCAATTTTGCTGCGCTTGAAAGTACATGATTGCACCCGTGTTCACTACCGGATGGAGTGCAATCGCTAGAATACTGTTGCTGGTATGCATGCGTAAGAAAGCACTCGTTTCGAACACTAACGATTATCGATTGCACCCTTAGCGATCGATATGCGAGTTATCAGTATAATTGTTTCAGCCCTAACTATACAATAATTATATCGAAATATCGAAATTGTATTGTATAAGGCTTTATTCCCGTAGCTATGCAGAAGACGTTACTTCAGTAACGTCTGGCGCTAGCCAGGGTCCACACAGTTTTAATTTTTTTTTTTTTGAACAGGACTTTTTCACGGCTTTAATTTGGTGTTTGTTTGTTTGTGTCACGCCTGGTGCTATCCCGTATCTGTCCCGTACCGTACCGTACCAGCAAAGACCGCTGGCCACACTATTTTTTGGTTGTTTATACCATCGGCATGCCTGGCGATATCCCGTACCTGTCCCGTACCATCAAGAGTAGGGTACCATCAAGAGAATGAGTATAATTATTATATGCGAAGTGTATCGGGGGAATGCATTAAGGCCAATAGTGCAGTAACATTTGGTGTGCATTTGTGTGCGAGGCCGAGATCCCACTAGCAGGCTGGCTGGGCCGCTTGTCGACCAGGGCAGGGGGAACAGGAGTATTGTTTGGCTGTGTCCGGGCAGAACCTGGGCTAGAGTTGTTACTTCTTACTGGCGTCACAGCAGACGAACACCCTTCGGAAACCGACAAGCTGGAAAATGCTGATTGAGGATCCGTAGTCTCATCGTGGTCGAGGATTATATTAGGAAAACAGTTCGTTTTTGCTAGAGTAAATGTGCTTTCCTTCAGCCAACGGCGAACATCTGCATCCGTGAGAGCAATGCGTTCCCAATCCTGAGCGATTCCGCAGGCAATATCTGGAGACAGTTCTTCGGTGGACCTGCTGGGTGTCTCTGCATGCTGCAGAACGGCTTTAACACTCTCACGAAAACGAGCGGAATCCCAGGACAGTTGATCAGCAGGACAACGTGCGGGCGTGCCATGCTCCGCAATGTTCGGGCCAAATACCCGCTGACACCTCCATGATGGTTGTATCGCCGTAGAAGTGTTTGAAGTTTGACTGAGCTGTGTTGTGGTATGGCGGACGGTCTCAGTCATGTTTGCAACGGTACTGCTGTTCGCGGCTCCAGTAGCGGTCTCCATGCAGGATGCCCCGCCCGTCCATGATGGTAGGTCAGCCATATCAACGTCTAAGAAATATCGAAATTGTTCGTAGCTGCTGGGCATCAATGACGAAGCGATGATTATAGATCCCAGACCATACAGTGATCTGCAGAAGCAGAGATCTCTGTAAGAACAGAATATACTCGTATAAGCAAGCAGTGACCGACAGTGCTGATCGCTTTCAAGGAAAGAAGTGGGTCCAAAGAGATTTGAAGAACGCACGACCACGGAGTTATTAACTTTGTCAGGAGACAGAATTTGCAGCAAACTGCGACTGGTGTTGCTCAGAAGTTGGGCTGCGAACATGGCGCTATAAAAATATACCAAATATTTGGCGACTAGCGGAAGTCGGTGAGAATTGAGGTCAGCCCGAATGAGGAACGAAGATTTCGCAGTCAATATACAAGGCTGATTCGACAAGTGTTATTATTCATTTCACAACAATGAGAAAAGCAAGGGAAAGCCACCTACAACTCGAAGACCTACCACCACGCAAAATATCTATTGTATCTACCTGGTGAGGTGTAAGGTTTATCGGAGTTCCGGGTTCACCACAATGAAGTAACTTTGCACCTTTCTTTATCACCGTGTAAACTGGAAGGTTCTCTGCAAGCAAAGGAAACAGGAAAAACAGAGAAAATGCGCTAGATGCTTCCCGTAAAAGTGCAGGACCACGAAGGATTACATCATTTTTTACAACAATAACATCTGGCCCAAACTGTCACAGTTTATGTGTAAAATGGTTCATGTAGAATCGTTTGCATGTTGTCATTCACAGATGGGACTCATACGATGGTCAATTCGCGCACGGTCGAGCTCCAGCGGTAGCTTTTGCTATGGTTTGCCAGACGCTTCTTGCTTATCCAGGCGGTTTCCATGATACCATTTTGTTGTGCAAAGTTGCACAGCACGTGTGGTTGTTTTGGTGTTGTTTATATATTTTACATCGCATGTCAAACGGGCAGTTCTGCCCAATACTATGAAAGCAATGGCAACCAGTAAGGAGAGTCAGACATGAAGAGAACAAGAAATAAAAATAAAAATACGAAAATGGAAGTAGCAATGAGGGTAGGCAGGGTTAAGACGAGCAGAAAAAGGGATCTTAAATTTACAAGTCGGGTCATCGTAGCATGATTCTTTGGAGCCTCATCAGCAGGTAACGAACGCCATTACATTTAACCGAAGTAAAAATGCGCGTAGTATGCGTTTGAATTCACGGACAGATACTGTGCACTTCTACAGTTGCCTAGTTGGGCAGGACATTCCCGAGTCGGCAGCTGGCTAGGAACTCACACTGGTCCCTGTTTCCGATCCACTCTACTACATTCCATGATCACCACTGGTGTGGAACTCCCTGCCTACCGAGATTAGGATATCTGAAACCCATGGTGTATTTAGCCGGCACGGTCCCATTTCCACAGGTATAGATTCCATGCTCGAGGTTTTCTCACTTCCTGATTACCCCCTTCTTTACCAGTACCCTTTTCGCTTGCTTCTACTCAGACTTCTTAATCAACCTTTTCACATTAATCATTTTTATCTTAATATTTTCTTCCTTTTAAGAGTTGCACCCTATTGTACACGCATTGTACACGTATATTTATTCTCGGAGCCTCCCTTGATTTAGGCTTCGGCCTTTGGGGAATCTCTCAAATAATAATAACAAGAGAGCTTGGAAGCTCAGGGCCCTACGCTATGCTTTTTTGCCTTGATGACCTAGACAAAAAAAGCACGGATGTGGCACAGTTTGGTGGGTGTGAATGCCTTCGGGCTATGAGTGAGAGAGAGCTAATGCCGCGGTGGCACAGAGATATTGCCGAAGTGGCACAGTTTTGGTGGGTGTGATTGCTTTCTGGAAATGAGAGAGAGAGAGAACTAATGCCGCGCTGGCACCGAGATATTGCCGAAGTGGCACAGTTTGGTGGGTGTGAATGCCTTCGGGCTATGAGTGAGAGAGAGAACTAATGCCGCGGTGGCACCGAGATATTGCCGAAGTGGCACAGTTTGGTGGGTGTGAATGCCTTCGGGCAATGAGAGAGAGAGAACTAATGCCGCAGTGGCACGGTTTGGTGGGTGTGAATGCCTTCGGGCAATGAGTGAGAGAGAGAGAGAGCTAATGCCGCCATTGCCGAGCCACCGTGCTCACATGTTATAAATTCTTATAAATTTCTAATATAGCTATGAATAGGATGAAGGCCGCAGACATCACGCAAATACGTTACTTGTTTGACATTGTTATTTTTTTTTGCGTTTCCTCTAGTGGTTTTATTGCACTTGTATCTTGATGTTTTTTCTAACACCTTTCTATTTACAGTACTTAACTTCAGTTTCTTTGGTTGTATCCTTAGTTCCGTTTTTTCCCACTGATGATAGGAACGAGAAAATCGATTCTGGGTTTTCAATAATATTTTTGTTATAAAATACACAGTACATGTAATACATGTCAAACAAGTAACGTAGTTGCGTGATGTCTGCGGCCTTCATCCTATTCATAGCTATATTAAAATTATTATCTCCACGTAGGTTATTTATAAATTTCTTGTTTTTCTAGTTGAGGCGCCAATTGCAAGATGGCGAATGAAAGGCGGCGAGTAAATCCCGATTTGCTTTCATGACATCATCTGGATGTTCAATAATCGATCTCATGTAATAAGGCAACACTGCCTGTTTGTTCTTCGACTCTAAATAAACCAATCCAATCCAATCCAATACTGTGATGGTTGATGACTTGGGTTTGATTTGGACACAAAGTGTTACAGTAGCATAACATGATATGCATTTCAAACGTGTGGAGCGCCAGAGATCAGACAACTCTTGACTAACACAACACAAAGACAGACACAAACAGCGCCACAACACATTCACAACAAGTAAAACAATCCAAAAGCACCACACGAGTAAGAATGTCTATAATTCTGTGATTTGACTTTGTCACAAATTTAGCGACAACTTCGATCTCAGTGATCTAATCCTCATCTATCATGGATACATTTTTTATCAGAGTTTCTGCACATCTCGCGGACGTATGTTCACACGAAGACAGATGAACGCGTAAGATAGTATTCACTACTTTAAGGAACAAAACGCCGCAAATGCACACACAGGGTCATTCGGACATAGAGCCATTCCACGTATCCTCTCTTCTTCTTGATCTAGCTCTGTTTGGCATTTCCCGATGTGTCGCTGCTACCTGCAGCTCTCTGCTTGAGACGACGCGTGTTTCGAAGTTTCGCACTGTTCCGTCGATTTGTGAACCAATTTCGAATAGTTTTTCTACTAAGGCCTGTACTACTAGCCAAGTCAATTTCTTTCTCTACCGCTAGCCGTTGGTTTTTGGAAAACTCATTGTTTAGAATAGCATACTGTTCAATTGAAAGCCGGCCTCGAAGTGTTTGATGCGGGAGATTGGCACGTCTGTGCCTGTCGTCTGTCCATCTTTTGAACACCGGGTACAACAAAGACATGCGCCGTTCACTATAGTCATGGCCTTCAAACCTGAGGACAGTTTTTGAGGTAATATTATAATACGCAGGGTTTGATTCCCGCAGAATCGATGCGAGGTGATGTTGGGCGAGGCCTTCACGTCTTCTGGTGTTTACAACCAATTTACGGAATTCCTTCATTTCGTCAAACGACAGAGCAACATTTGCGTCCGAGGAAGGTGCATCTGCAATGCAGTTTGAAAGAATATTCACCATGGTGCCTTCATTAGCAGTGTGAAGGAAACTAGATGCCGGAGAAGAATCTAGCGCGGCATCAGAAGTTGTTGCGCAGTCGGTTACGGGTAAGTTCGTTAACTGACAGTCCTTGAAGATGCTCAGATCACGTGGCTGATCCTTAATGGTCTGACCATGTTCCGCAACTGATACAAACCCTGCATTTACTGAACTCGCGGTTGAAGACGTAGTAGGAAGGCAGTTTGTTCTGCTTGGATTCGATGCGCAGCCCTGCAGCCAACGGTTGATGTCTGCATCCTCTCTGCTTATCTTTAGCCAGTCCTGCGCGATTTGGTCCGCAATATCAAGGGACGTGTTTGAAAGTTCTTGTGTCTCGGCATTTGTCAACAAGGTCCTAATGGATTGCCGAAGGGGAGACGAATCCCAGGGAAGTTGATCAAAGTTGCGCTCTGATTCCAGGCTTAGCCTTAGTGGACTACTTGATGATGGTGATGTCGCCATGGATGTGTTTGATGGCTGACTGAAATGTAATCTGGCGTCAGTTACGGCCTCAGTACTTGGCGACGTTGTCCTGCTATTTGCTGCAGCATTCCAATACTTGATCCAAGAAGCTACGTCTGTCCCCGTCCGCGATAGTTGATCAGCCGGATGAACGTCGCTATGGAGGTCGAGTTCTTTTCTCTACTCCCGGGAGAGAATACCGACACGGAACAGAATATGCAGTGAGAGACGAACGTTGCGATTCATATGCGAAGAGATCACTGCGGCGTTGTGAGCTATGTTAGGACAGATTCGCTGGCAGCAACGTTTTCACGATTCGGATCTGAAAGAAAATGCTTCCTGGTCGTGTTACTTAGCGGGAAAGTAGCGCAATCTACTACAATGGAGTGTGATTTCGTACTCAGTCCTGCCATCGGTGCCTTCATCATCTTGAATGGCCTCAGTGCATTCAGATGATTGTTGCTGTCACATGTTAGCATCCATAGTATTTAATCCTGTTGAAGCTGAGCTGTAGAAGCTCAGGAAATAGCACTATTATTATCACTCAGGCTGCAACATTCATAATTATAGACATATTCTTAGATGACATAAAATCTTCAATACCCAAGAGCTACATTGTATATATTATGATATAATTACGTCGCAGTATCATAATTCTATCATCGTTCTAGCTCAATTTTTTCCCTGTCATATTCCTGTTTATCATGTTCAGCATAAGCGAAGTTGTGAATCATGCTTGCATGGTTGACTCCAACGCGTACATGCAAGTAATAATAATCATAATAATAATTAACATGTAGATGCACATCTGCTGCGTTTAAATGTTCAATAGCCAAGAGACTTGAATAACGACTGATAAAGAGATTTCCTTTGTAATCCCCATAACAACATCAACGTCCTTATCATTTGTACAATACCTGTCTTTGTACAATACCTGTCGTTGCAAATTCTTTATTTTTGTTTTCATGTTGGAGTTTGGATTGAGTTTCTTTCCTTTCTTCCTCTTCCTTCCCCTACATTGTATTTCTTGTCCCTTTGGTTTTTGGCTTTTTTCCACTTTCTTTTTGCTGTCCCACCCATGGAAATATTTCCCGGTGGGTCTGGCTTATCGCCTTCGACAGAAGTGAATAAAGGAGACATAGTAAAGAAGCTGTATATTCGCACGGAGAAGGGCTTACGCTAGTAAGCGCAGCATTCAAACTCACACTTATGCTGGTTGAGAAACTGCCAGCAACTCGTTCCTTCTGTATACTGGTTGACATTAGCACTCATAAAATATCGCACTCTTGTCAGGTTTGTTCCATCTGGCACTGATCGGTCTTTATTCCTTACTTGTGCATGCGGTCACGTGGGTCTCCATCCTGTGTTTGGACTGCTACATGTACTCGATGGCGGTTTTCTCGCCATGGATGTGTTTGATGGTTGAGTGAACTCTAATGTGATTACAGTTACGGTCTCGGTGCTAGGCGGCGATGCCCAGCTGTTCCTTGCTGTGCTACTTGACTCCATACGAGTTCCAGTGTCCGTCCCGGTTCGCAACGGTTGTTCCTTGACGATATAAAGTTATTATTATTCCCGTAGCTATGCAGAAGACGTTACTTCAGTAACGTCTGGCGCTAGCCAGGGTCCACACAGCTTTAATTTGGTGTTTGTTTGTTTGTTTGTTTGTTTGTTGGTTTGTGTCACGCCTGGCGCTATCCCGTATCTGTCCCGTACCGTATCGCACAGCTGGCCATTTGCTGGCTCCCGTATCTGTCCCGTACCGTACCGTACCATCAAACACAGCTGGCTACAAACAGCTGGCCACAATATTAGGGAGGTTTAGTTCCCACGTAACGGAAACGCGTACGTGGGTGATCTACGTAAAGTGGATGAAGGGCACCCACGTTGCAATGTTGTGTTTAGTCACACGGAACAAACAAAAGCATGAAGCGAAAGGCCAAAACCTGGTCAAAGACGAAGCTACCCCGGCCTAAGAAGCTCATCCAATATTTTGATTTCGTGCTTCGGAAACTTATTCAGCTGAGCACCCTCACAGCTCGCACAATGCGCTCCATTCTGATTTTCACCCACGTTCTGGCGGAACGTGGGTGAGCCTCCATACACGGTATGTCGTGAATCAGAAAACGTCTGTACGTGGGTCACTGAGTATCACGTGGTGCACCTACGTAAAGTACCCACGGATTACGTGGGACTAAACCTCCCTATTATGTACATGTATACGACTCCCTGTGTGTTGCAACTGTGCTTGAAGGGGACGGTTGCACTTTTTGTAGCTCTGTTTTATCTGAGTTTTCAGTCGTTCCTCTTACTAGTCTTGCCAAGGGGGTGGCTCTGGGTCCACCAGAGTTGCCCCTGGCGTATTTCTGAATTTGCTGGGGCGAGGGTTCCGCGACGCGGTCGCCAAGGCAGTGTCTTTTCAGTCACGACCGTTGTCGTCCTCGTCTCTCCATTCGCGGTGGTGTAGCTGACCCCCGAATGGTTTCAAACTGCGAAGCTCGGAGGAGTACAGTGGTGGCAGAGGCATGAGCTGTGAGTGGAGACGGTTGCTGGAGATGGATGGTGATGCAGGGAGAAGAGTTACGCTGCCTGACGCCGCGTGGGAAATTGTTTGAACCTGCAATTTCAGTTCGAGCGCGGTGGACTTCTAGACGATGTGTCCTCATGGCTGTTTTTCAACGCTTGGCCTATCGCTGATATCCCTGCGTGGGATGTTCTTCCAGTGGAGTCCAGGTGGGACTTCGGGTGCCCACACTCCATCACCTGGTTGATTGTTTCGGAACTGCAAAATAATTATTGTTTCCTATTTTGTGCGCATCTCTTGTCATCTCTCTTTTCTATACGTCGCACACCAGATGTACTACTATCGCCGTCTTTCTCTTGCTTTCTCTCCCTGCTTGCTGTTTTTTTGTTTCTGTTGCCACTGTCCCTCATCATACCCATGCTTGGGTGGTGGGCGGCGTGACCCGTTAGGGTAGCTGCCAATACAGTACGACTCCCTGATGTATAGAGAGACTTTCTGGAAAGAAATAGGGAGACGAGGAGGAAATGAAATTAGAATGGATGTTAGTTGCCGAATAGGTGATAGGATGCGTCAGCAAAAACATACTTTGGAAGAGAGATCCCGTCGTCTCCAAAATAGGCGTGAACGGGCGAGTCAGCGCCGGTCACAGGAAACGTCGGCAGGGTGATCCCGTCGACTCCAGAACGCGCGTGCTCGGCAGAGTCAGCGCCTTCCCAGGAAACATTTCCATCAGTTCCCACAACATGCACGATGAGCTAAGTAGCAAAGCATAGCGTAGGGCCCTGAGCTTCCAAGCTCTCTCGTTTGGTGTTTGTGTGTTTGTGTCACGCCTGGAGCTACCGTATCTGTCCCGTATCTGTCCCATACCTGTGATTTGGTGTTTGTTTGTTTGTGTGTATGTTTGTGTCACGCCTGGAGCTACCGTATCTGTCCCGTATCTGTGATTTGGTGTTTGTTTGTTTGTGTGTTTGCGTCACGCCTCGAGCTACCGTATCTGTCCCGTATTTGTGACTACGAAGGTTCTACAGGATTGTACCTAACAGCTGGCCACAATATTCGTCGTATTATATATACGACTCCCTGATGTAGAGGGAGATTTGGAAAGAAAATTAATAGGGAGACGACTCAGACGAGGTGGAAATAAAATTAGAATGGGCGCTAGTTGCGGAATAGGTGATAGGATGCGTCAGCAAAAACATACTTTGGAAGAGAAATCCTTTGGAAGAGAGATCCCGTCGTCTCCAAAATAAGCGTGAACGGGCGATTCAGCGCCGGTCACAAGAAACGTCGGAAGTGAGATCCTGTCGACTCCAGAGCGCCCGTGATCGGCAGAGTCAGCGCCGGTCCCAGGAAACGTCAGGACAGACGGAGGATCGACTCCAAAATAATCGTGAACGGGCGATTCAGCGCCGGTCACAGGAAACGTCGGAAGAGAGATCCAGTCGAGTCCAGAACGCCCGTGATCGGCAGAGTCAGCGCCGGTCACAGGAAACGTCAGGACAGACATCTCGTCGACTCCAAAATAAGCGTGAACGGGCGATTCAGCGCCGGTCACAGGAAACGTCGGAAGCGAGATCCCGTGGAGGCCAGAACGCCCGTGATCGGCAGAGTCAGCGCCGGTCACAGGAAACGTCAGGACAGACATCAGGACATTTTTTGCCTAGCTCATGGTACATGTTATTAGAACTGATGGAAATGTTTTTTTCCGTTGATTGGCTACATTATTATTATTATTATTATTATTATTATTTTTTCTTATTTTGTTAGGGATTTCCCAACAGGCAATGTTGCCTTTTTACTGGGAACCCTAAATGAGACTTTGTGTGAGCGCGAAACAAAGCAGGTGACTCGGCCAGGCGACAAGATGGAGGCAGCGCATTCCACCTGTCGGCACCAAGATACGCAATGGAATGGAAACCATACCGGGAGTGGCAGGCAGGCAAGACAAGAGCAGCTGTAGCTTGGCCTCGAGTTGTGGCAGCAGAATGTGGGCCAGTGCAGCGGGGAGTGAATAGGAGGCTGAGAACATCATTGTATTGCAAAAACGTTTCAATCAGTTTGAATATGAGTTAGGCAAAAGTATTTGCAGAATTTATTGCGGATTGTTATTTTTCTCTCACTTCATCCACTTTTGGTTTGCTCCTTCTTTTCCTTTTTATCTCCTTATAATAGGATTTTCTGGCCTTTTTACATTAAAAGCATAGCGTAGGGCCCTGAGCTTCCAAGCTCTCTCGTTTGGTGTTTGTGTGTTTGTGTCACGCCTGGCGCTATCCCGTATCTGTCCCGTACCGTACCATCAAACACAGCTGGCTACATACAGCTGGCCGCAATATTAGGGAGGTTCCGGAGTACGATTTTTCGTGCCAAAATCCGTAGAGGCGCTACGGATTTTTTATACGTCGTTTTCGAGCAGTGAAATGTTCCGGAGTACGGAACTTGTGTGTTTGCCGTCATTGCCTAGGTTACGATCCCAAACACGTCACATTCCCGCGCTATGCCTTTATATTTTGAAAATTTGTACCGAAATCAAAACTTCCCGCGGAAAATTCCATGTTTCTCGTACCAAATTTGTACGCGAAAAATCTTTCTGCGCCCGATGACGCAAAATCTCCATACGAAACATGGTTCGTGTGAAAGCCAGTCCACACGGATTCTCCGTGCCGAAAAATCGTATGGAGCACGCCTGAAAAAAATCCGTAGCGCCCACACGGATTTTGGCACGGAAAATCGTACCCCGGAACCTCTATTAAAATAGGGCTTTCAAACGCAAGATCATAACGTG